AGAATTTGAAATTATTATTTTCTTATAATTTGAAGATAAAATTTCAAGGTTCCCTGAGATAGTGTAACTTTAGATTTTATATACGTTCAAAACTTTCTCCTATATAGATTAGAATGAAGGAAAATTTTTGTAACTAAAAACTTGTTTGTTAAAGTATACGATTCAATCAAGAGACGTCTCAAAAGACGGAAAACTCTCAGAAGTTCTTAAATATGATCAATTTTGAGTAATGTCAGAGTTCTTTTAACTTTATATAAACAAGTCAATGTGTCGTCCTATATTTAATTATATTTATTATGTGTTATTCATGACAAATCGAGTTGATAAAAATTTTAGCTTCTTACCACTAAATTGAAAATTCAATTGCTGAAAATGAATTTTGATTTTCTGTTCGAGAATTTTAATCGATTTCATATTTAATCGAAGATAATTTATAAGTATTCAATATGAATTTCTGAAAAAAAAACGCAACTATCAAAAAAAATAAAATAAATATATATATATATGTTTTTTTTTTACTTGATAAAATATCTCGAAAATATAATTGTTGAATAATTAAACATATTTGTTCTTTGTTTCATTGATAATTAATATATTTATTTCATCTTCAATTTTTAATTTAAAAGTTGTTGAAGTATTGAACGAAATAAAAAATGTTTAACGAGTAAAATCATTTAATTATTTAAAGTTCGTTTAGAAAAAATTTCTAATCCTTCATTGATTTTTCTAACGATTGAAATCAGTTTTTGTCAATTTGTCAAGGGGGAAACGGCGGACTTGAAGTAGAAAAGTACGTCAAAGTAGGAACAAGTAGCTTAAAGTAACTTCAAGTAGCTGAAAGTAACTTAAAGTAGCTCAAAGTAACTTCAAGTCCAAAAGTTCGCCGTTTCCCCCTTGGACGTATGTCACAACATCGACTATTGGAGTATCTATGCTAAAAGTTTCATCAATAAAGAGCGAGGATTTTTAGAGAAATCTGCAAATGTTTCTCATGTATAGTTGAAGTGAAACTTCTTGCAAGACTTGTTCTGCTACCATTTCTGGTTTAATTTTAACTTTGAAACAATAGTTAACTGTATTTTAGAATTATTTACATGTGAGAATATCTCACGAGTCTGTGACCATCATGTAAAGTTTTGAATTAAACCAGAAATGTAACAGGATAAGACTTACAATAAGTTTCACTTCAACTATACACGAGAAGCATTTGTAGATTTCTCTACCAATTCTCGCTCTTTATTGATGAAACTTTTAACATGAATACTCTAATAGCGGATGTATCTGTAATATATGTGTAAGGCCAGAAGACGATAGTATAGAGAAATAATCGAAAAAGTTGGTTCTCAAAAGCCTGTAAAATGACCTTTTCAAAATTATCCCGTATTTTATTAGAAAGCACTCTTCTATACAAAAACTAATTATTAGGGCAACATGTACAGTCTTACTGAGTTAGATTAATATGAGAGTCATGAGACCAGAATAAGTCACTACGGAAGAATAAGTTTATGGAAATCGTTTCAAAATAAACTGAACACCCTGTACTTCGTGCTTTCGTACATGAAGAGTTACTATTAAAAAACGAAACAAACCTGACTCTTCTTTAATTTTATTCTTTGGTTAGTTTTTGATATAACTATTTTTGGACATAAAATAATATTGGAAAAGTATGAATACAAGAGTTGATATTATACAAGTCATAAGAGTGTCAAGAGTTTTTGAAAAGATGAGAAAAAAACTACGTTTGTCGTTAAGATTCATTACCCTATGTGGACATTAACGACAGATGTATCTGAGTGTGATAACAATTTTTCGGTCTTTTTCAAGCTTCATTTAACCATTTTCATGCAAAAAAATGTGAAGAATCGAAGAAAATTATCTAATATTCTTTTCAAAATCTGGAAAAAATTGCCTACGAATTTCTCGAAACTTGAAGTTTCCCTGAATCCAGAGAAAGTTGTCCAAGACATTTCTTAAAAATATCGAAGAATATTGCCTAGTAAGTTTCCCAAACTGGGAGCAAATCGACTCACAAAATATCCAAATCCGCTGAAAGTTTCAGTTAAAATTTCCAGGAGCAGCGGTAATACCACTATTCCCCACCGATCGCGCCACCCCTTTAAATCTGGATGAAATATTGAAATTGTATACAGAAATGCATCATCGTTGTCTGTATTTTGGTGTTTGAATTTGAAACATAAATGTTACCAATTGAGAGATGAAAAATAGACTAAAACACATCTGACTCAGGCTTAAGATCTGAGTTTGATGCATATTTGATTAGAATAATCTTATGTCATTTCTTTGTGTTCTTTTTACGTTATCAATACTCTATTGAATCAAAAAAAAATTGGCCTATTAATAAAAACCTTGCCCATTTTGCCCATCGTTTTTTTTTCTGGCACAACAGAAGTTTGCCCATCGGTCTAAAAATCCTGGATACGCTACTGCCTGAAAATTTCATACAATTGGGATGTTTCTAGTCTGAGATCGATTTTTGAGAGAGGAGCTTTAAATTAGATTTCGTTTCTTAATTAAATGCTTTTATATTAAATGTATAGTTTGATATTCTTTTATAATGCATATTAGTTTATTATTAATCAATAAATGAGTTCTATTTAAATCTTCATTTTTATTCTTAAATAATACTTAAAGATTTTCAAAGAAAATCAACAAAAAAAATTTACGATGTTTCATTTTCAAATGATGTAAATGACATATTTTCTTTTGCACTTAAACCTAATTTTTTAATAAATTGAATTTTTTCATTTGATAATTGTGTATTTTCAGTTCCTGTTGTTGATTGTTGAATGACAAAATCTATAATAAATAAATGAAAATGAATGTTTGTTTGTTTGTTTTCTCTTTTGTATATTCGACAAAAAAAAAATCAATCTAACCTTGCATTTCATGTAAACGTTGATTAATATTATTTGGAAGATTTTTTGATAAAAATTTAATTAATGTTGGTACTGATTTGCCTGGTGCATGTATAAGTCGACCATTATATACAGCATAAAATAGAAGAGTTACTGTTAAATGAAGAATCATTGCAGGATCTTGTTCTTCAGTTAATTTAGCTTTAAGTTTTTCACGTATATCCAATATTAAATCTCTAGAATATTTTTTTAAAAAAACCAAGATTGATATATTCGATGAAAATTTAAATACAAACTTTTCAGTTTTTTTATTTGGTCGTTTTAATATTAATTGAAGTAATTCACTAGTTGCATCTTCAAGTCGAGTTAAAGTTATTTCAATATTCTTTTTTTTGTACAAAGAATAAAACAAAAAAAGAATTGTACAGATAAAAATTTAAATAATTTTACTTTGCCATTAAGTGATTCATTAACTTTTGATAAGTGATTTCGACTTGATTCAGACATTTTTTGTATAATTTTATTTCGTTCCTGAGAAATTATTTTCTTTATTTGTAATTTGAATATTTCTTATTCTTACTTCAATACTCAATTGTCCTGTTTTAGCACTTGCTGATGTATCCAATTCTCGTATGATAATATCACACATATCAGTACAAAGTGAACGTATTAAATGTCGTTGTAAAGTATCAGCTAAATAAAATTTTTTTTAGTAAAAAACAAACAAAATATTGTATAAAATTTGTTTTTTTTTCTACCAAGATTCATTTCATTTTCTGTAATTAATTGTTCAATTGAATGTAAAAATATACAAATATTTCCATGTAATTGTTTAAGAGTTTCTTGTATAGTTTTCATTTCATTCTTTCGTGTTGTATCATTAGTTGTTTCATTTTCTTTCAATATAAAACTTTCTTTAACACGTTGAATAAATAAATCAAGATATTGACGGCTTTTTATACTAAATTAAAAAAAAAAAAAAAATTATTTATCAATGTTTTTTTTTGAAATGAATCAAAAAAATTTTTACCTATGAAGATTATCAGTTAATAAATCAAGTATTTCATCAGGTAATTCGTCATTAATAGTTCGTATTTGAGTTTTTATTTCATCTTTACTTATAAAAGAAATTGTTTCTTGATTAGGATTTGTTTCTTCAACAACTTTTGATGCACCTTTTCGTTTACCCGTAGAAACATTAGGTTTTTTTCCAGTAGCACCTTTTGCTAATGATGGAGTAGCTAATGTAATATTACCTTGAAGAACAGCTGCATACATTTGTGGAGTACATTGAGCAGATTCCTAAAGAAAGATACATATTAATATTGTAACGAATTATTCCTTAATTAGTATTGTTTATCTTTTCTAAGATAGCTCTAAGATATGTTATTAATTGATCAAAATTTATTATCTATGTTAAAATAAAATGGACTCGATTATTTGTTGAATAACTCGACAACGCTGATAGCTATTAGCTAGAGATAGAAGTTTATCTGAGAATCAAACTATTTCGAAAGTTTTCTAGAGAATTTCAGGGAGTTTCTGGAAAATTATTGTCTGGTATCTTTGATTAATTCTCAGAAAATTATGACCATTTTACTGAATTTTCGACACTTTCCTAAGTATTTACTGGAAAATCAAATTACGAAATTTCGACCTGAAAACTTGCCCATAGATAGGTTTTTCTGGAAGTTTTAGTCAAAAAGAATATTCCTTTTTTGAGATATTGGCTTTTCAAGTAAAGTTGAAAATACATCCAATCAACCGAATCAGACAGTGATTTTCTAGAAAATTCCGTAGGAAACTTTCCAAGTATTTTGATTTTCAGATAAACTTCTATCGGCGTTGCCGAGTTATTCAACCAACAACCGAGTCCATTTTATTTTGAAACTCGATAAAAAAGTAATGGATCATTTGAAAACGTTTTCTCGTTGGATAGGAGAATTATAAGATATTTACAGTATATGTCATATATCAACAATTTAAAATTGCAGTAAATATGTTCAATGTTTTTTAAATGTAAACAAGTCAATCGAATTATCTTTGGAATAAATACTACTAGAAATTTTGATTACTATATTTCAACGATCAAGTTTTATTACAAAAAATGTTCACATTCGATATATTCCTGTATTTTTTATATCAAAAAGAAAAATATTATGAATGAAATTCAATGAGTTGAGTTTTGGTATAATCAATATGACTTTTTGCAAAACTAAAATGTAAAATTCTTATACACTTTTGAACTGCTAATGAATTCTTTTTTTTCTATATTCATCTTAGATTTTTAAAAAATTAAACAGTATTTTATTTTAGTAATAAATGTCTATAGTTCGTAGCATTTGGATAACTATCGCTGTTATTTAAGTAATCAAACAATAAAGACATTTGTTCATCAATACTATTCAATCTATATCTTACTTTTTCAACACATTCTTGACAAATTTCATTTAATTTCTTATCGATTTTTTCTTGTAATTCTTTTCCAATAATAAATGTATTTGATAGAAATTCTCCACCTAATGATTTAATTAATTCTTTAATTGATATTTCTATTTTAAATAATTTTTCAATATCATTTTCATTAAAACTATTTGGCATTAATGTTGTTATATCAATATATTCATTTGAAACTAGACCATGTTCAATATTCATTTCTAATTGTGGTAAAAATTTTAATTTATCAATACAACCAGATATTAAAAAAAGTATTTGATTACGATCTTTTAATACTAATTTTGTTTGTCCTTCAGGATCAGTTACACCAAGATTACGTACAAGTGTATATTCAATATAACCATTTTGAGAAAAAAATGATTCAATATATTTAGCTTGAGCATCAATATAAAGTTTTGGATAAAATATTGCACTTTCTTTTGTTGTACCAATAAGATTTCCATTGATTCGATTATCTCGAATTAAATTAATAATAAGATCTATTAAAAACAAAACAAATTTTTAGTTTTAAAGAAGAAATAGCAGTTTCACTATTTTTCATTTCACGATATTGAAATCATGTGACATATGCGCATTTATGACGATACTCTTCTGAGATTTTTTTTTTGTTAGATCAAAACTTTAAAATCTGACTTTACAATTTTTTGCATCTACGGTATCCCTCAGAGATTGAAAAAAAGATTTTTATCGTTAAAGATCCCTGAGAAATGAAATTTTCAATGAAGATGTGTCTCGAGTTAGAAATTTCACGGTATAAATTCCAGGTCAATACATTGAATCTACGAAGAGTTAGATTTCCGTACGTCTCAAATGCTAGAAAGCTCGAGTAGATTTCAAAATGTGGTGCTACAACTTAACAGGGTACGATTTTCTCTTAGCTTGGTTTTTTAGAAAACTCCTCTGATGAAATATGAAAAACTCAAGAGGTGTAAGTTAGTTTTTACCGTCATTTTGACATCAAGTTCAGCTTTCTAGCGTTTAAGATGGCGGAGAAATCTGAGATGCACGAAAACGTAAAGGTCAAAAACTCTATTTTGACAACTCAAAATATAGCATTAAAACAAAAATAAGGTCGAAAAGCTTTTGTGACTTTCTAGAAATCATGTTTTTTCAGCTAAAATCTACAGAATCGTCCCCATTTGTCAAACACAATAAATTCGATCGGATTGAAACTTTTTCTACAGATAGTAAAGACACTTTAAGATGCATACTTTTTTTTTGTTTTGAAAAATATTGTATCGCTGAGTTTTGACAGATCATACGAGACAAGCACTATTCAAAAAACAAAAACATGTGCTTTTTTAAGGCACTCTTCGTATTTGGGCTTCTTTATTCGAACAGTACGAGATAGAAAGAAACCAAAAAAATTAGTCATCCCAAACAGTATCTAGCAGCTCTATAGGATGTACTGCGGCTGAGAAATGAGGACAATTTTTAGCCATTGTGATCCTAATATCTTCTAGAAAGAAGCATTTTGGAAGAGAGTAGACACTTTGCTCTATCTAACAAGCTATAAATCACAAATTTGACTTTTTTTGAGGGACCTCTTAATTTAAAAATTTTGTATTTCATCTAATAGAACTTGTCACACTAATCACCACAAATATCATATTTTTGTTGAAATTCGATCGAATAATAAGAAAGAAATGACGAATTTTCTAGTTCGAATCCTTATAGTACTCTATCAACTCAGTCTTGATTCTAAGTGTTTCTCACATTGAGATCAATAATAGATTTCTCTGATGCACAAATACTTTCTTAAAATGAAAATACAAGTTACATCTTGTATTTTACAATTGAACACATGAAAGAGAAGATAACATTGAGTATACAGTATGAGTTCGGAAGTGAATGAAAACTCTTTCATAGAGTTACGGAATAGGAATTTTCTTTTCATTAACACGTACATAATTTGAAATATTGTTTCAAAATTTTGACTTAAGAAAAAAAAAACTCAGAAGATTATTCTTATAAATACACAAGTATTATTTGATTCGAATTTCATGAAATGAAAAATAATGAAAAATGTCACTTCTCGTTTTAATTTTTCTTACTTTGAATAAGATTTTCATTAACACGTGTATTTTTATTTATTTCATTGATACGTACAGGTAAAAATGCTGCTTGAAGATAACCAATAAGAATATTTTGTTGTAAACGAACATAATTTTCTGTATATAATGTACCAGATTCAAATTTAATATTATGTATTGATGAACTAAGAATTCGATTTGTTAAAATTGTATTTAAATATTCTGTTGGTAAATCGAATTGACGAATTAATTCACTAAATGGTATAAGACCACGTTCAATTAACATATCATTTATTTCTTCAACTAAACGATTTGTATATTCACTTGAAATACAAAAAAGAATAAAGCGTCTTTCTTTTTAAAATTTCAATTAAAACAGAAAGAAAAAAAACATACGCTGAAATAAATTGTCCCAAAATAAATTGTAATGTTGGATCTTCTTTACAAACATCACCAACTTTACTTTCAATATAACTTAAATCAATTTTAAGATGTTGAGCTAAATCAACAATATTGATACGACCTGAAATATTAAAATTAAATTTACAAAAAAAATATATATATATATTTTGAGATCAAGTATTTTTAGCATCTACGCTTGCAATGATAGAACTGATACATTACTGCATAAGAATAAAAATATGCTATGCCGAAAATTTGAATTTACTTTTTTAAAAGAGAAAATTACATTCGAAATAATAAGCAATTATTCTTTCGTCTAAATTTACTATTAAAACATCATATGAATAATATACCTTCGTTTGCATAAATTTCATCGAGAATTTCTCGAATAAGTCGTTGTTCAGTGATAATATCTTTTCCATCAGTTGTATAAATAACATTTAATAAACCTTCTTTAACTAAAAGACCAATTAATTCAACACAATTTCGTTCTGATAATCTAAATTAAAATAATTATAAATGAATATTCATTTAATGAAGATAATTTTTTATTATATTATACATACTTATTAGTTGTTTCTGTTAATTGTAAATTAAGAAAATCAGCACGTAAACTACGAATTTCATCCCATGTAACATCAGCCATGATTGATTATTACCACGTTAAAAATAAAAGAAAATAAATAATAATACTAACACGTAATAATTAACTAGCGAATAGACAAATTCTAAACAACCAATCATTGTTTTTACCTATAAAAACATCAGACAGAGAGCGCTCTAGTTTACGAACACATAATCCATCCAATATTATTATCTATAGTTTTTTTTTTGCTATTTGTTAAAAAATCAATTTTGTTCTTGAAATAGCTTTTCATCTTTTGGATGAATTCATCAGATAAATACTGGCCACGTAGTGGGACTGTATTTCCTATAATTCCTATATTTTTAAAATTAGTCCTATAATGGACTATATTTCAAGGTTTTTTCCTATATTCCTATATTTTTCGAAAAATTGAAGATTCCTCGCAAAAAAAGTCGCATATTCTTTGATCTGAATGTCAAGAAAGCAGCAATAAGACGTTTAATGGAAGAAAATACAGAACATGTTTGTGTAAATGAAGTCTGTAAGCAATTATTGTAAGAAAAAGAAGAAATATTAATGAAACTAAAAAATTTTCAGCATGAACTTCATGAAGACGACTAGACAGTCACCAATAACAGTGGACGTTTACTAGAATCCGCAATCAATAAATAGTCTTGATATAGTTAGAGCTACAAGATTAACTAATTATGATAATACTGAAAGTAAAACGATCTGGAACAGATGTCGAAAGTGCAGAACAGTTGATTAAGATTAGAAATGAACGAAAAAATGATTTGGGTCAAGAATAACAGAAACGACAAAAACTACAACTGATTCAGCGATTGCTTATAATTAAAACAGATTTACACTTGTATATATTTCAAAATATAATTTTAGGTATGACAGATGTTTTAATAGTATTAAAAAGAGGTATAGTTTATATTGTGTAAACCAAAAAATAAATTCTTTGTGGTCTCTATTGCATTTGGTTGCGTTTATAATCCTATAGTTTAGTATCTGTAGAGTAGTTGAAAATAAATCAAACACAAATTATTGTTTTTCATTTCTGAAAGAAATATTTTATTATGATACTGTTTTTCACAAGTCGCAGATATTTTTCTTTAGTTCATCAGATACATATCAAATAAAATAGTCTATAATCTTCAATGCAATTGAAAGATTTCTCCGACTTCTAAAGACTTGAGCAAAAATCAGTATTCTATATATTTCCTATACAGTTCGAGAAAATCCTATATAAATTGTGGTGGTCAATTCCTATATATTCCTATATTCCCATAGAGTGGTGCTACGAGGCCAGGATAAATATGTTTTTCATTTTGTTTTTTCTATTATATTTTATCCTTTATATGTATTTCTTATGCGCAAACTGGTTGTGAAAAGAAGAGAACAATAAAAAAACAAAATATACAAGTCTGAGATAATAATATTGACTAATATTAGGATATAAAATGGTATTCCACACATAGAAAAGAAAAAAAAAAACACAAATTTATAAAGAGATCAATCACACAATAGTTGATCACGATAAAAAATAAAAACTGAAAATAATCAAAAAAACAAAAAAATTTCTTATATACAATCAAAGTCTGGTAAATAAGTTGATGGTCGTTGTAATGATGATGAACGTATTGTACGTTCAGATCTTGATTCCATACGATCATCTCGTTCCATAGGTGTTTTTCGATGCCATTTACTAGATGATAATGATGGTCGTGAATAATTATGATTATTTGATATAGAACGATAATCAACAATATTATACTATAAGAAAATAAATCTTTTGAAAAAATTATTTTTTGTTTTTTATTTTACTTTTGATTGACAAACAAAAACATTTGTACATAAACGAGTTACTGCATTCATTAAATCTCGTGTTTCACATATAACAGTATCAACCTAAAACAAACATTTCTATTTTCAACAAATTCTCATGTTTTAAATACTTTTGCAAATGTTGAATTTTTTCCTGAAACAGAAGTTTTTAATTTTAATTTTAATTGATGACACATTAATGGTATTCTTTCTAATTGTGTTAAAATATCTTGTCGAGCATTTTTATTTGGTATCTATAAAATCAAAAAATTCTTTAACTTTTTTGTTTTTTTCACCAATAAATTTACTTGATTAGCAAATTCATGAATAATAGCTGATAAACGAGCACCTTCTTCAACAAAATAATATGATTGTGTAAATAAATCTTGTGTTGTACGTAAAGTTCCTTCGCCTCGAGTAAATAAATACATAGAAAATGCCATTGATGACATATTTTTTGCACGCTATTTTTATATAAAATTTATTAAAAATAATATTTAGAAAATAAAAATAAATATCAAACTTTAGCTATTTCATTTTGTGGTTCATCCCATTTTTCAGCTTCAGTATCCATTTCTGATGTAATTAATTTCATTTCAAGACCAGCTTTAGCAATTTTAGCTTGTTCATCAGAATCAAGTTTTGTTGGTTTAAAACCAGCTAAAAATTCATTTTTTTTTCAAAAAGATATATAGAAAATATTTATAAAAACAAAATAACAATTACTTTTTGATGTTGTTCCATGTTTACCAGGTCTTGGTAATGATAAATAAACTGTTTTTTCACCACGACCTTCAATAACATCTTGAATTTCTTTAACAAGAATTGAAAAATCATTTATTTGTTGTTCCCAAAAACGACAGAGAACATCGAGATTTTCTTTTGGTACTCGACTAGTTCCATGTGCAGCAACAGATTGTGATGATGCAATGATCTATAATTACATATGAACAATTTCATTTGTTACCGATGTGAATTATTTCTAGATATCCTGAAAAACTCAAATCTCTATTCCACTGAATTACTATTGAAAAATTATCATTAGCGATGTGATAGAAAAAAAAAACCAACAAAAAGTTTTCACTGCATACATTTTCATGTATAAATACTGTAAGTTCACAAAGTTAGATAATTATTTGCTAATTATGTTTTAATTAGATGTGAATGGAAAGAGGCGATATTTTTATATAAGTTCATACTAAAAGGAATTATTCAAAAAAGTAGATTTTATAAAGAGTAAAAGTCAAATCGAAGATGATCATGTTAACTATTTCTTGCCTGTGACTAAAGTTTAAGGTCTGGGACTGAAATTCGTCTGATGATGTAATCACTACAACCCCTAATATGAGCAAAAAAAGTTTGAATCACATCACTTAAATGCTGATCTAGTTGGCGTATTGAATGTTCGGTAGTTTTTGATGGTATAGACAAACCTATGAAAGTTACAGCAGAATGAACACTATGGTACTATTATCGTAATCATACGATAATTACATTCGCTTCATAAATCATCATTTGTTGTAATATATAAATTGAGTTTGAAAGGTCTATTCTTCCAGTCGATGATATAATTGAAAATGATTAGTTTTGGCATAACAAAGCCAAATTTTACATTTCTTGTAATAAGTGCTGGTCCTTTTTCAATAATCTGAAAAATGGCACCTATAGGTGCTATTCGTAAGAAAGAGTTAAAGAACAATAATATCGATTAGAATCGATATGAATTTTCATTCTATAATCTGATCGTTCTTTTTTTCTTACTTGAAAATCAACGATCAAAAACTCATTGAATTCAAAAATTTTAAATTAATTGCAGTAGTAAAAAGAAACGAGAAATATCTAGTATAAGTACGAATATTTTGAGAAAGAACTTTTCCTTAAGTTGATTGATAATTACCATTAGATTTTAGCCTCTAAGAAAAAAAATTTCATGTTAAGACTTTGAGCTTTAGATAATATCATGTACTCTGCTAAATGCCTTTATATTTGAGAACTATCTTTATCATTCATGTTGTTAAATAGAGTAATTTATGAGTAAGATTTATCTTCTTTTGTTTATATGTTAGTAAAATTTTTTTCACAAATATAAACTTAAAGCGGGAAGAGTCCCATTAGCAAAAGTTGAATGTCACTGTTCAGTCAGCTGTACTGAGATAATAAGAAAGCTTCACACTCATACGCTTGGATCAATTTTTAGCTTTCGCTTTTCTAATATTGCACTTCACAGGGACTTAAAAAATTAAGTTTACAGTAATATGATGAAATGAATATAAACATTCATGTATTTCAAATGCACGAAATTTTTTGGGTCTACTGTATAACTCATCCAATCAGTTTCCATTCGCTCGTTAACATCAGAATTTCTTCATATGCTTCAGATTATCAAAATTTTCTCTTCCGGAAGGATTAACGCGATCTTCGGATTACTGTCGTACCACTTCCCTGGACCTCCACAATGCATAAAACACTAAGTCTACTGAAAACTTACCATATTTGATAAATTTTGAAATAATGTATCATGATATTCACTTGATACTTGTAATTGATCACATGAACTAATATGTTTCAAAAGTTTACTTAACTAAAAAATATGAAGATTATTATCAAAATAAATTTTTTTTTTTTTTTTTTTATATCAAACCTCAATAGCAATGTCAGCTTGTTCACGAAAACGATCGATTGATTCTTGTAATAAATCTAATCGAGCAGTTAATGAATATGTTTTTAGTTCATTAAGTAGAACATTTTCATCATGTGTTCGAAAAAATTCTGATGCACGATACATAGCCATTTGTTCTAACTGAAACAAAATAAAAAAACAAGATTAATTTTGAAATTAAAACAACAAAGAGAAAAACTTATTTACATATTTTCGAAAATCACGTGCTAATTCTTGAATTGATTGAATAGATAATGAAAGAACATCATTTTTTAATGAAGATCCAATATCATGATTATCTGTGATAATTTTAATAATATCAGCAAGTTGTTCTTGTAATTTTTTATGATATTCAAGTAATTTTTCTCGTTGTTCAATACTTATATAAATTGAATCAGAAAAATCTTGACTATTATCAATAGTTTTATTACATAATTGTTCAAGTTGTTCTTTAGTTGATGATGTTACTGAAACATTTAACATTTCAATTGCATACTAAAAAACAATAGCGAAGAAAAAAAAAAAGCAATTTTTTTAAAAATATCTTTTTATATGTATTTAATATTTTCTTTTACTTCAAATTGTCTTAATGATTTAACAAAATTAATTTCATCTTTAGTAAGTAGAAGTGTAAGTGTAGGAGTAGTTGTTTGTGTTGTCGAACCCGAATCATAAACTATTAATCCAACCATATCAAGTGCACGACGAATTTGATCATAAACAAGATCTCGACATTGACGAGAATGAATACATTCAATATGACGAAGATATGCCTATACATAAAAGAATTTCGACATTGAAAAAAGCAAAACCTAATAGTCAAAATAACGAGAGCAATAAATTTTCGATCTCGACAAAAATTAATTTATATGTAAACAAAGAGTAACCTCTCTACTCAATTATATGTGTATGAGCTTCGAGTACTTAGGGTAATGTTTTAAATGACATATCAATAATACTGTTATAAATAGTACAGATATGATAATTAGGATGTGAATATAGAGAATAGTCATACCCACAGGCTAGATACTACGTATCGCTTCGTATAATTATGTTACATTACGTACGATAGGCTTTTTCCAAACAAAAAATACTGATCAATTTCGAGCTTTTAATTACTATATTTATTCTGTTTATATTACTATTATTAAAAGAGATAATATCATTTAAAATATCATCCTAAGTACTCGAAACTCATATAGATACAGTTGAATAGGGATCATTCTTTTTATAGTACTTGAATGTGATCTCTATTCTACAGAATGATGTCAGAATGGAGAGTTTTGATTAATTTGCTAAAAAATGGCAGAGTTGTAACGGACAGTCATCTTGCGATCGCCTTTATTAAAGTCTTTCTTGCACTTCAATAGTTTGCAAAAAACAATACCGCCTTGTAAAGAATTATTTTCTGTATCTTCCAATATATTCACTAAAATTTTGTGGCATGTCTAGAACAATCTCTATTTGAGGTTTTTTTCCTTCAGAAGAAAAATTCTAAGCATATAATTCTGATTTAATATACTACATCTCACTCGTTTTTAATGCATTTAAATAGACGAAAAATAGTCAAATATTTTCTCTAGAAACTTTCAGCGTATTCCTTACTTCAAAATATATTCTATCTACTAGCATAAAAGTTCTACACAACACATATTCGAAGCTAGCTCAGTGTCCTATATCAATTTGCACAAAAATAATTTTAATTCGTAATATTTAAGAAAAAGCAAAAATATTTCTATTGTGATTTTGTAACATGGTCAGCAGAAACTAGGGATGCACCAATTCCAAGCCAAGAATTGGAATTGGAATTGGTGCATCTCTAGCATAAACCTTCCTGGACTTAGGCATAAGTTTTTCAAGAAATCATAGTTTTCCCAGGTAGTTCCCATTTTTTTTCGGTCTAGAAAGGTTTTCATTGCACAACAAGATTAGATTTCAAATCAGCACATTAAACTACATCGGATGATATATGACACAAGATATTTTCTAACGAAAAAAATATGAGTAAATGTTTCTCGTCCAAGTTTTTATTCTCTAAACTTCAATACTCTTTTTGACAAAAAAAGAAAAAAATATAATTATTATTACTTTTGATGAAGTTAATATAAGCATTGTAGATTTTTCTAGAATAGTTCGAGAAGCTGAAAGTTGAGATCGACGTCGTTCATCTTTTAAATCCTTAATATGAAAATAATTTCTTTTGAATATAAAAACAAATATTTTTTTTTCCTACTCACATTTTGTCGATCACCTGTTAAATGTGCTAATTCAATCATTTGACTTCCATAGACTCCAAATAATTTAATAAATTCCGAAAAAGATCCTACTGTTTCAAGTCGATTTAATGTCGATATAACCTAATATAATAATACAATGATTATATTCACTATTAAAATCTATTAATAAAAAAAATTCCACTTTTTTCTTAATAGAAATTATTTGTTTAACAACAACCATATCAGCAAGTAATAAAACACGTGTTACAGCATTTAATAAACTACGTGCAGCTTGTATCATACTTTGTCTATCAGTAATACAAACTGGTTTTCCAAATGTATCATATTCGATACAAGTTATTCGTTTTATTGTTTCACCTATAATTAAAAAATAAAAACAATTTTAATCCTAACAAAATTTGTACGATATTTTTATACATACCAGCTGATCGAGCTTCACGACATGCATCAGTTAAATCAGATTTTATTTCAGGATTTTCATTAGCAATTGATTCTCCTAAATCAGTAATCGAATTTCGAAAGGATTTATGGCAACAATGCAAAAAAAAATATATAGAATAAATCTTCCCATTTAAAAACAAATTCTCTCTTTTTTATTCTTAATAACTCTTTTTCATTATAAACGTCAAACAATCCTTGATAAAAATAGCTACTCTTCACGAAGTACTACTATTCTATTCACATGAATTGAAGTTATAATTCACACATACTTTTTCCCTTGTGAAAAACATACTCAACGGAAGTATGCACTTAAAAAGTTTCTGTTTGTCGTATTGCTATTACACAAACTGCTGCTTTTTTCTAGCACTAAAGACAGTCCTATACATTCATTTTATTATCACAAAAAACCTATGTCATGGTGCTAATTCGATTTCATTTAAAAATTTCAAAACAGAGTCTTTATTCGAATTCGAGATAACTACAATATCGGATTTTCGAATGAGAAATTACACGAAAATATTTATGACGACATGATTGACGTCTGAATTATAACTTCAGTGCAGTAGAGGATGGGTTAATGCTTGCACAATCAGGGTTTTATTCTCGGATGCATGTCTCAACCATTTCAATGCAAATAATACCTACCGACAGAAACAAAACGTTCAACTGCCATATGTACAGCATCTCCTACTCTACTAATAGCATGAAGTGTTTTTTCATTAGTTGTTAATGATGGTCGAGATTTTTCTTTAAAATTAACTAATGTCGAAATTTGTGTTACAAGTGGTACAAGTGTTGCTTCAATTGATTTTGTTTTTATTTCAAGTGATTTTTGTGGAAAATTTTTATTTACTGATGCCATAGTTTGTTTTACATAGTTTTTTTTTTTTCTTCTTATTATTATCTAGAATAAAAAAAAAACACAAATACTGATGTTTATTTCATATCATCCAAAAGAAAAAAATTTAATAATGAAAATAGAAAAAAAACAAAATTATTTCAATGATTCTTTTTGTAAACGTTCAAGATCATTATCTTCTGCACTATATAATTCACTAACAATACGATAAACATATGATGGTGCATTACCCATACCACTACCAATAATTAATGTAACTAATTCTGGTGGAACATAATCATGCATAGGTACAACAATATCTAATGATGATTGAAATATTGATTCATATGAAAGAATATTTTCTGGTGATGGAAAACTATTACACATAACTGGATCAAATGATGGAAGATATGTTGGAGAAAATTTATATGTTGGTGCACAAACAAGTAATGGTACATTATAATGTTTAGCAGCTAATGCTAAATTATATGTACCAGATTTAGCTGTTAAACCTCCATTAGCAAGTAGACTACGTGTACCAATAACAATTTTATTTACACGTGCCATAATAGCAAATACAGCTGAATCTGTAACAACAGTAACAGGTATATTTAATTGTGATAAATTTATTGCCATTTTATGTCCAGTAAAAAAAGGTGCATGTTCCAAAATAAATACATGAAATTGACGTTTTTTACTAGCTGCATATTTAAAAAATTGTTCAACTGTATATGAATAACCTAATGTTAATATAAGTTCATTAGCATGTATATGTGCTAAAGCTTGTTGTGAAAGATTTTTAACACTTAATTCAATTTCTGATGAATACCAATTTAAATCATCCATTAATTCAGGTTTAAGTCGTAGTACAGATACACCACCTTCAATATTATTTATTGGATTTGTTTCTGTTATACTATTTTGAGTTTGTTGTTTTTTAGGTTGAAGATTTTCTTCTGTATGATCATCATCATTTATAGTTGATGTTGCTGTACGATCATTAAGAACAGCTTGAAGTGTTAATGATATATCACTACCTTCATTTTTACCATGAATTATTCGAACTGATACTTCACGAATTAATTTAAGAATACGTCTAAATGATAAAAATCTTATATATGATTCTTTATCTTATCGACAAACTATGATAAATATAGAAGTCTTTATGTGTTTGTCCATGAAAGGAAAATATCAGTTTTAATAAATTTTCTTTGATATTTTTGTATATTTCTTTGCTTATATATGTAAAATCTACATGAATAATTTGCTTGACTAATATTTTGAGATACTATCTTTCTGGAGAATACTATGAATCCATCGTTGAGCTCATATTAGACCCAATAAAAGTTTTGTCTCTTTGAAGCCGAGTTATAACCGTTTTACTGAATTTTTTTTACCCATAGATTGATGTAATAATTCTTAGAACATTCAGAAAGTTTTATCTGCAAACAATGTTTATTTGTTCTAAGTGTAAGAAAAAAAATTCAATAAAAAAGTCATAGTTCAACTTCAAAGACATGAATTCATTTATAGTCTTTACTGAAATCTCTAATATGAGCTCAAACAACAGATTACAGTTCGAGTAATTATACTAACGGCTTAAAATTACAGAATATAGATGTTTGATATTTTTAAGTAATTTGCACAAATCTAATTACTAATATCTATAATATTCGTCAATGATCACAAAATTGAACATAATGACTTAATTGAAATAAGAAAATTACTATGTACTATAAAAGTTCATTTATTGCTTAGAACTATGTGACATTTCTACTTAAACAAACAATACCTTGTAATATTAAATGTAATACTATCCACCGGTTGTCCTTGATTAAGTCGATGAGCTTGAGAACGTATAAGAGTAATAAGTTCACTTGCATTTGACCATTTTGATTCTCCAATAAGTTTTTTTAAAATATATATTGTAGCTAAAGCTATATCAACTGAACGTGTATAAGTATTTTGTTTTATATTATTACAAAATCGATCAATTTCAGTTTCAACATCAGTTGGTAAACGAGCCATTGATTAACTTTTTCTTTTTTAAATTATCTAAAACAGTAAAAAAGTTTATGTATATATATTTATAATGATAAAATCTGATGCAATATTAGAAAAAAAGATTAAATCTATTTCGAAATTTTTCATTAGAAAAAATTCTATTTGAATCAATCTATCATATTGATTTCTTTATATAAAGATAAAAAAGGTCATGAACAAATCTCCTATAGAGTTACTAAATAGATTAATGTCAACATTGGTATTTTTTTTTTTTTTTTTTGTGAATGTTTATTGATGATCTGATCACATTTCCAATCGGCTATTTTCATTCAACAAATAAAAATATTTTATCTAACCTCTACATTCCATTGAGATAATGACAGTAGAATCAATAGAAATAAAAACATTGATTGTAGCGCTTGAACATCTATTTTTTTCGTGTTAGCTATACAAGTTGTAACTTGACACTTTTCCACCAAAAAAAATGATTTCTACAATTTACACTATTGGACATTCATCTCATGATTTAGCAACATTTTTTTCAATTTTAAAACGTTATAATATTGATCATATAATAGATATTCGTCGTTCACCACGATCTACTAATTATCCACATTTTAATATTGATCGATTAAAAGAAGAATGTTTATTACCAGAATCACCTTTTAAATATTCTTTTCAAGGAGATATTTTAGGTGGTCGTCGTCGACGATGTAAATCAATTGAAAATTTAAATAATGGTTTATTAGATTCCGATTCACATGCATATGCTGATCATATGCAAAGAATTGAATTTCAACAAATTGTTGATCAATTAGTTTTATCATCTTTATCATCTGTTATTGTTCTCATGTGTTCAGAAAATAATCCTGAACAATGTCATCGTTCATTACTTGCTGATTATTTATGTCTTATTCATCATATTAATATTATTCACATTCTTTTTAATGGTGAAATATGTGTTCATCAAGTAAATCCACAAGCTAAAGTTAATGATAAAAATAACTCATGTATTTATCCAGGAATTTCATTAATATGATTTACAAATATTAGTCGCATATATAAACATAGCTTGAAATTAGGGTCTAAAAATAGTTGTTGTTGTGTATGTTAAAGGAAAAAAGAAACGGAAGTGACGGATTGCAATTCATCTCGATAACAATCCATCAATGGTAGCTTTCATACATGTATTCGGGCAATTTTTTTTTTCCTTTTTACATCTTTCCCAATGGAAAGCATAAAGAAAAGAACAGAAGAAAAAAAGTATTATCGATTCTCTTTTTTTCCTAGTAAGAAAGAAGAAAAAAAACCGGAAAAAACTTAGATCATTTTGAGCTCGTTAATTTTCTATTGTATTTCAGCATGTTATTCATTTCTACATTCTTTCTCGTATTTTGGATTTACCTTGTCGTAAACAAAAAGCTAACCCTTTTTCTTTTTGCTTTCAGATGTAAAGAGGATAAAGAAAAAAAAAAAAAAGAAGAAATGTCATCAAATTTTAATAATGAAATACATGATCCTGTTGGTAATTTAACTAGGCGACCAGTTCGAGGTATTCTTAAATCATCGAAAAGTATGGATGAAGGTCGATTAGAAAATAATCAACAAACCATTTCAACATTAAATGACTATCCAACAACTGGTATGACACGATCTGAAAGTAAAAGGTAAATATTTAAAATAGATCATATTTGATATTTGGATTTGTTTTTGCTTATGTAGTCAAAAGATTCCACATTTTGATGAAATGAATATTATTGCAACGTATCATCCAATTGATAAAGATTATGGTCATATGAAAATTGAAGAACCTAAAACACCTTATGCTCCAAATGATAATATTGATGAAGATATGGATATTGGAGTTAATAATGATGAAACAGTATCCCCAGGTTTTGATCCTAATACACTTGTACAAAGGTTTTTATTTATATTTTTCATTATTATTGATTTATAAATTATATTTATCTATAGATTAAATGAATCATCAATACCATCATCTAGTTCATCTCAATTCAATTTTAATCGTCTATCACGAAGATCTTTTGATGAAAATGCTCTAATGTCTCCCGAAGAATTAGGTATTGTAATTTGATTTTTTTTTTTGTTTATTTACATATTAATAAAAAGAATTCTTCTAGAACATCGTAAACAATTTGAACAACATCGTAAACAACATTATAATGAATTTGAAGTTGTTCGATTACGTAAAAGAGAAATTGAAGCTGAATTACGTGCTTTAGAACAAGAGGAAGCAACAGGATCTGGTTCGGAAGGAAAACAAAGTGGAACGTAAGTTTAAATAAATATTATTCAAAACGGATGACATTTTTTCTTGTTTTTTATTAGTATGTCTTCGTCGAATGATTCGATTAAACCAATTTTAGTTCATCATTCAAAAGATTCAATGGTATCTACCAATCATCAGCAGCATCATCATGTTCATGTTGACAGTGACCATCAACATGATGTAGATGAACGTTCATTAACACCGGAAGAACGAGGTTCGATTTTATTGTTATAGTTCTATATAAAAGAAAAAAAAAAACAAGCAAAAATTTGTTTTTTTTTTTTTTTCAATTTTAGAACGAAAAAAACAATTTGAATTGAAACGAAAGAAACATTATAATGAATTTCGTGTTGCTCATATAGGCGACAAAGATGATTAAAAATGATTTTATTCTTTTTTTTTTTGTAAAAATATTGTCTTTTCTTCTATGGATTATCTGTATATATATATATATATAATATACTAAAAGTCATAATTTGTTTATCCGACAGCAAAAAATCTTATGAAGTTTTTCTTTTAAATACGTATGTTCTGAATATATTGTTTCAGTAAATGAATTTACTCGTGTTATTCTAATTGAATGTAATCAAAATGAATGAAATCCTCTTTTTTTTGTAAATTGACAACAAAAGAATTTTTTTTTCTTTAATAATACGATTGTATCTTTATTTTCTTATTGAAGGAAAGATAAGATCTTAAAGATAGCGAAATATCTAATAGGAAAAAGCAAGTTTAATCTTTTCCTATAGTTTAAAAATCTTTTTTCTTTTGAATGAAAACAATGGAAAAGGTTTCCAATGAAGATGTGTCAAGATGAATTTCATTTTCTTAGTTTTCACAATTGCTGGATTCATATCATGTATTGACATAAATTGGAATATACTATCTTTTATGAAACTTCATTATGGTACATCGTAGGAATTGAAGATCTTTGTCATTGTGGAAGAGGAAAAAAAGAATTGAAGGTTAGAGAATGGACATACGTATGTCTGTAGGTAGGCAGTTTTTTGGAATGGTATTCATTTTTTAAAGAACATTTTGTACTTGAATAGATCTTAAATCTTTCAGTTTTCAAATGATATGCTTCGTTTGGAGAATATATTATTTCATCGATTTTAACTAAAAAACATCGAATAAAATGTCAAAACTCGACTTAATGTTTTTCTTTTAATCTCTTATTCCGGGTATTAATATTTTTCAAGGAGAATATGTTGTTGTGTAATAAACAAAGTTTTTACTATTGTTATTTAATTTGCATTTTAAAGAGACTAGGATAAAAAATTCAAATAGAATTGATATACGAAGTTCTTTTGAACCTAATTATTTAATTGTTAAGTGAACATACGAAGTAATCTTGGAGTTTTGTTTTTCTTCCAATCTCGTACGTATGTATACTGCTGATCGAAGACTTGTTGTGTAAGTCATTCATGAATATTGCCAATAAAATAGAACGATAGCAGTCGTGATTAATCTTATGATGAAAAAGCGATCGTGAAGTTTGAATTGTTCTAGTCTTTGAAAGATATGAAGTTGATTTACGTCACACGGAAAAAAAGATCTCCTTATTTCTAACATAAATTGACACGAAACTGATATTTTTCTGTTATCTCAACGAGATATAAACAGAAGTCTAAAAATACACCCTTGTTGAACTTTACTAACATAATTAATCTGAGAAAAAAGACGAAAGAAACATTTGTGCAGTAAGAAAACATATTAGCAGGATGAGGGTGTGATCGATCATTCTGATCGGCGGAAACGACGTCTTATCAGCTCGTAAACGGCTATAAAACGGTTTAATTTCTGCCGTAAACGCTGACAAATTAGCACTGTTTTTGAACGTTTTCCACTGATTTTGGGACCATAATCCGTCATACCAGATTACGAAGCGAAAACGGCGTCGTTTCTGTTGAATAACGATAAGTCGTATTGATACCATTTTCTTATCGTATATGGCTCATTTTCATTACTCGAATTGAATTCTAGGCAGCATCATGCTTATACTTTCAGTTATTATACGAAGCATTTCATTACATAAATAGCATTCCTACATACGAATCTATCCTCACAAGCTACATCTATAGTAAATATATGAAAAAGGGACGCATCCAGACGCGATCATCATATCTACTATGCGTGACAGAACCATTAAACATTTTTTAGATAAAGTAGTCCATTCATTAAAAAAAAACCTATAATTTCAAGGATGTATTTTTTAACAAGTAACTCACTATTGAACTTACCTATGGAAAAAAATAACGAACGAAGAATATACGAAGACGTGTACATTCACTTGATAACTCAATAATAGTATCTTCTCAATTATTGTGTGACAAGACATAGAGACGTTTTTATAGAGCGCATGTCATATCGTCAAATAGGCCTCAACAAAATCTATCCATTGGTGCAGTAGCGTAGCCAGGAAATTTTAAGTCGTGGTCTCTTTGCCAGCTGAATTATTTTGAGAATTGAGCGGTTAAAAAACAATTAGGCTACAGTTCTTTTAAACTTATTGCCATCATAAAAAACAATGTTTATTGAATAGAAGCTTGTTATTCTCAACTAAGATGGAAGCTCGTTCGCCTTTTTTTTGTACTGTTTCACAAATGTACTTTCCAACATTCAAATATTTGAATTCTAGCGAGAGCCCGTGCATACTGCACGGCAGCGTTTTTTTCTTTAGTATACGACCTCAAAACTCTAACCTTTCATTCGGTAACAGACACAGAGACACTCAATACTATGTATATAGTAGCCCTATGGCATGATATTCTAATATTACCAATACCCCATGTGGCCTTACGGTCTTATAGCATTATCACTTGTAGTCTAACTCCCGTAGAACGTTCTCCTCTTATAGCCTTACCACTTATTACCTTACTGCCTTATAGTCTTACCCCTTAGTAGTCTTATCTCCTTATTGACTTTCTCGCTCAAAACCTTACCTCTTTATAGCCTTACCCTTTGTATCTTTAACCCGGTATCCCCTTACTTCCATATAGTCTTCCCTCCTAATAGCGTTTCCCCCTTCTAGTCTACTCCCCTTTTATAGTCTTACCCTTATAGCCTTACCTCTTTATAGCATTATCTCCTTATTGCCTTACTTCCTTATAGCCTTAACCTCCTATAGCCTTATTCGATCTTTAACTTTTGACCATTGGACCTGAGACAGAGAAATACACATACTGAACATTATATATATAGATTGCCTTACTTCCTTCAGAGCTTATGGGTGCTTCAATATAATAGCCCGTGGGCTTTCCTTCCTGTAGCCTTATTTGACCTTTACTCCGACACAGAGAAACGCACACGCATACACTGAACATTATATATGCAGATTTAGTTAAGCTTTTTGATAATTTATTAATGATACATTTTCGAACGAAATGGTACTGGTTTAGAATAAGTTTTTAGATTTTGTTCATAATCAATGATTATTTTTTGAATAATGTCTCTAGATGTAACAAACCAAATCAAATCTTTATATTCATCTGGAATATTTATTGGCGGTTCCATTCGAAGATCAACATTTTCATAAACATATTTTGATATATTATTTGCCATTGATTTAGCTTGTTCGATCGGATCATCTGATGAAGATGAATCTATCATTAAGTGAGAAGAATTTGAATTCTATAGAAAGAAAAACATATGTAAATATATATCAACTAATCATAGAAAAATCAAGTTTAATTACATGAAATTCCATTTGTTGCTGTAAAATATTTTCTTCCATTGTATCATTTTGATATGTAACCATTTGAAGACTATGAAAGTGAGAAAAATTATTTTCTGATGGCATAGTACGAAGACGCCAAACAGCTGTTTTCACATCATAAGTATACTGTAACAAGCAAAAAAAGAAAAACAACAATTAATTTTTCTTAAATTGAAATTATTGACAAAAAAAATTTTACCAATGATAAAAATTTCCATCCATCATTTGCAATAAATTCAATTGCATTTAAAATATAATCAATTTCTTCATCATTTGCAAAATATGATAAATTAAATCGGGCAAATCCAGGTTTCATTAATTCAATTTTAGGTATTCCATGAAGTCGATCACTAAAATTTATATGAATCATCTTTCTAAAAATTTATTTCTTAAAATTTACTTGTCCTCTTGTGTAATAAATTTTGTATAAATATCTATTGTTTTATCATCAATACCAAGTAGATCCTAAATTAAAAATAACAATAAGTTTTATTCAAAGAAAAACTATTAGCACAATCTGTAGAAGAGTAAAATGTGAAACACAATGTAGATTGATATACGACCTATAATCATATGTCAGCAACGTCTGTCACGATTTGTGAGAGAAGAGAAAGGGAATGGGTCGACATTTAGATGTGGATGAAGATCTACATCCACACACTACAAATTTTGAATCAACCGAGTTCGGATTCAGAAATTTTTGGATTCGATCGGCTCTAAAAAATGGAGCATCCAAATTTCTAGTCCTATACTTCAACACTCCTATCTAGATCATGTTTCATAGACAAACTCCTTCATATATCACACTTACTAAAACATAAGGTCCAGCACAAGAACATCCTGATCGTACTTGAATACCAAATAAATCATTTAATAATACACAAATAAAATTATGATGTATATATTTATCTAATGATGGTACATAAATACGAAATGAAAATATTGCTAGTCGAGGAATAGTTGTTGATCCAAGTATAATTAATGTTCGATGATTTCGAAATCGTGCAAAAACTTTTTTGACTAATACATGTTCACGTGCTTCGATTACATGATAACCAACTGATTCTTTTAAATGAAAAACTAAACCAGCTCGAATAGCACCAAGAATATTCGGTGTTCCACCTTCTTCACGTCTTTCAATATCTGTTACATATTCAATACGTGTACGAGTTACAAAATTCACTGTACCACCTCCAACATCGGATGGAACTCGATCGGTGAAAAAGGTTTTTTTAGCTATTAAAATACCTGAATGCAAGAAAAAAACAAAAAAACAAACAAAATCATTTTGATGTAGATTCATTTTTTCTTTTGAATAAAGTCAATATCAACCTGGTGTCGATGGTCCACCAACAAATTTATGTGGAGAAATAAAAATAGCATCTTTATAAGTAAGTTTGGATGGGTTCATATCAATTTTAACATAAGGTGCTGCTGCTGCATAATCCCAAAAAATCCAACCATTATATAGATGAACAAGTCTTGAAATACGATCAACATCAGTTTGAATACCGGTTACATTACTAGCAGCATTAAATGTACAAATAATCTGTTTTTTAATATTATTATGATAATATTTCAAACGATTTTCTAAAAAATCTTCATCAATAAGACCTTGCTTATCATTAGGAATACGTATAACCTATAGATAAATATTATGATTTTCTAGATAAGATTTGAAGAAGAAAAAAAAACTCTACTTTAACTCCTGATTCTATCCATGGTAAAATATTTGAATGATGTTCAAATGCACTAATGAAAACAACAGTTTTACTTCGAACTTCTTCATCATTCAGTTGTAAAACATGAACAAGTTTATTAATCGCAGCTGTCGATCCTCCAAAATTATGAATTATTTCTTTGAATATTTAATTGAAGAATAATTCTTTTATTTACCTGATCCAGTAAAAATAACAACATCATCATTGGTTCCATTGACATATCGTTTAATCATTGTTCGTGCTTCTTCACGAAATTTCGTAGTTTGTCGTCCACATGCGTTATTATCACTATGTGTATTAGCATAACTGAACAAAAAAAAACAATATTATATCTAATTTTAGAATGAAAATTATTCTTACTGAGGTAAGACGTTGTTCAACATATAATGTTCGATAAATGTTAGACCACGTCCAGATGCTGTATAATCAGCATAGATCACTGTAGAATGAAAAATGTGTTTCTTTAAAAAAAATGAAAATAGATAATCGTACTTTTTCGAGATCCCCATGGAGTATTGATTCGAATATTTTTACCAATGATATTTGAATCAATATATTGAAGAAGTCGTGATTTGTCTAAATAATGTATATTAAAAAAAAGATTATATATATATCTTTTTTTTACAAATTATCTTATCAGTGATAGCTCATTTTGTAAAGCTAAACATAGGTGAAACGACCTCGACAAGACAATGATTCTGTTTAATGAGGTCAGGTCAAATCATAGATGTACATCGCGACTGAGAATCTGCCACTGCCGCGACTAGTGTCCGCCGTGACCAACTTTTTTGGTCACGGTCACGTCACGGTCACGGTCACGGGCTGGGCTCACCGTGACCGTGACCGTGAGTCACGGCCCTTCTTTCTGGTTTCTCAACATGAAAAAAACCTTTCCAGAAAGAGCAATTGCAAAGCTTCCCTAGGGAAAATCTTTGATGTTTCCGTACCAGGTTCTTTATGGATTCAGTCAGCATCTTTCCAGAATTCACTCTTTTTTCCTGAGGAAACGATGAAATCCTGAAAGAAGTGTGTAGCCACGGAATTTCAAGATCCCGGCAGGATTCGAAAAAGGATTACATCAGGACCCTGACCAGGTTACCATTGTTGTCTAACCTGGAATAATTTAGAAAACAAGATGTGGTTGTGGGTATGAACAGAAGTTCTACTTGTATTAACTGACAAGAACAGTCACTGATATGCTCTCTTGTTGACTTTTTGTTGCGACGCTCCTCAGTTTTAGCTGCAAAAGTTGACTGGATCCTTGTATCAAGATCCGCATCAGATCTTGTCTAAAATTTGATAAAATCTTGAGAGAATCCTCTCCATTATCCCTGTTAGGATCCTAAGCAGGATCATGAATGAATCCTTGAAGGATCTTGTATTCATTATCTACAAACACATCTGGTCAGATACGGAAAGAAATCCTAAACAGGACCCTGTATAACTGTGAGAAATCCCGGCAGCAGGAATTATCAGGAATTGAGCCGGGATCCTGAGGAAAACTTGATAAGATCTTGGAGATTTAGAATCCTGACAGATCCTTGCAAAATTTCTAAAGGAATGAACAGGACTGAGACCAGGGTTCTGTTTGCTATTAAAAGTGATGATCGGAGGAGGGTAGCTTCGCGTAGGTGTCCGTGCTTCCCCTCAGGAGTTTCCAAAATCACGAATACTAGAAACTTCCAAATTATTCATAAAAACTGATGAGTGGGTGGGAGACGGTAGCTTCGCGAAGGTCCCCTTACTCCCCCTCAGGGATTCCCAAAATTTCGAGAAAGTTCCCGTGACTGACCGTGACCAAGTTCCAGTCACGGTCACGGTCACGATCTTTAAAAAAAGTCACGCACAGTCACGGCCGTGACCGTGACCGTGACTCACTGATAGTCACGGCAGTCACGCCGGTCACTAGCCGCGACGCCACCACCATCACGATGGCAACGTCGTCGCGGACATCTCTAGGACAAATAAAAGACCGATCTGTCTCAGAGATGAGCCACTCTAATTTAGAATTTTTTAAAATCTTAGTTTAACTCTGATTATACAAAGCCCTACACTCTCCAATCTTCTGTTAGAAGAATAAATTCTTTTGCATCGATTTTTTTCAAAAAGTGTTATCATTCTTCATGCTTCTCATTTTTACTTGACAAATAATCTATCTAGATAAGAGTTTAAACAAAACTGAATTTCTCCATCTTTAGCGATGATTAAGCTAAAAACAAAAAAATTAAAACTCACTATGATCAAATTGCTCGATATTGCAAAAGGTTGAATATATTGTGGTTGCATCTGATCTAAACAATGGAATCATTTGATCATCAAAAGATTTTTTATTCGATGTCGTTATAGTTTGATTGAAATTGTTTACTGTTTTTGGATAACTAAATGAATTAAATGAATGATGTGAAGATTCCATCGGTGAATAATTCTGTAAGAGACAAATGACTTTGAACATAATTTATTTAATTATTATTTACTGATATTTGTTGTTGATGATTTTCACAAGGTGTTTCTTGTTCATCCGATAATCTATATTGGAATCCTACATCTCTTGAATTGGTCCGAAGTAAAATGATTTTATTTGGTTGATTATTTCTAGTTTGCTCTGAATTAATCAAAAGGACGATTCATTTAAGAATAATAAAGAAAAAAACTTTACCAGGGTTTGTCAAAAGTCCGTTAGTAGGAAACTAATAAAACTAAAAGCTAGTTCTTCATTTAAATGTATAACTCACGTACATGGCCGTCCAATTTGTTCACTTTCAAAAAATCATTCACATTTTGTCGATCTTTCCCGTTAGTTAGTGGCTAGAAATCGATAAAATAGGAATGAAATTTAGGATTTGAAATAAAATTTTACTCGAAAATATACTACGTTCTTATATGATGATAGAATCATTGTAATTCTAATTGAAACTAAACAGAAAATATCTTATTTTATATAAATATATATTGAGTGTGGGTATGAGTCTTCTCGTCACTGACATCCACTTTTGGATAATATAAATAGATTTTGACTGCCGGTCAAATGATTGGAACAATTATTTCACTAGTACAGTACATGATTTCTCAACTTGATTTATTCGAGAAAATACGCATGAAAAAATAAAACTATTAGTTATAAATGACAATACTTTATCGTAATCTTCCTACTCATTTATTGGTTGCTTCTCTCGTGTATACATCTGAAAAAAGGTATAAGAACTTTTATTTTCGTGTCGTGAAAATTTTTTTATAGAAATATTTTATTATTGCATCAAACGCCTTCTCTTTGTAAATGTTCTCGACAGTCAGTAATGTAACTACGCAGGACTGTAACAATTCAGATCTTAGGAACTGGTCCACCAGTTTCAGTTTCTAGAAACTGCTCTGATCGATCAGTACCGTCAAAAAAGACCTGATCCACCAGGTCGAAAGAACTGTGAACCCGTTCTTTTGACCTGAAACTGTTACAGTTCTAAATGTAACGATCATTTTCATATATTCTGACTTGCATGTGATGTATTAGGTAATTAATGAGACCATTCAAACTTTCAAAAATCATTACATTTAAAATGTAAAAGATATAATTTTGTAAAACAAATCCAGCTCGACCTTTTGAGATGTTAAATAGTAGAATATATTCTGTATGAAACTCTTAATTACTGGGATAGGAATAAATAAAGTTTCGATAAGCAACATTAGGTCGAATATGCCAAAACAAATACCAATAGCGATAACATGCTGCCCATAATGTATATGTGAATAATGAGAAGTATTGCAGAGAAAAAGGTTTTCCTGATAGAAGCATCTGTTTCAATGTCAGATCTACCCTATTGATCATCACAATCTTGATGCTTACAGAGTAATAATCCGTCGACAATACTATGAAAAACAAATATTTGACGACAGGAACAGGTACAGAGCAGAGACCGAAACGGGCCGAGGAATCGAGGTGGGGCCCCGGGGCGGGGAGCATTTTTGACTGGACGGGGCGGGGACGGGGAGAGAATTTGCGTGGAATAACGGGGCGGGGCGGGGGCGGGGCGACAAAAAAAAATAGGGCGGGGGGGGGGGGGGGGGGGGGGCGAAAAAAAAAATTAGGTCGGGGCGGGGCGAGGATGAGGCGACCAAAAAAAATTTAGGTCGGAGCGGGACGGGGACGGGACAGGGCAGAATGAAGTAGACTCCTGGAAAACTTTCTTGTTGTTCATTTTCACATTCAAAATTCGTATATGCATTAAGGAAGAGTCGATGAAAGTCGGGGCGGGCGGAGCGGGGCGGGGCGGGGTCGGGGAAGCAAAAAAAAATAAAGAGCGGAGCGAGGCGGGGCCGGGGAAGCAAAAAAAATAAAGAGCGGAGCGAGGCGGGGTCAGGTGGAGAAAGTTTTCGACGGGGCGAGGCGGGGTCGGGTGGAGAAAGTTTTCGACGGGGCGGGGCGGGGAGTAAAAAATCCGCCCCGTTTCGGCCTCTGGTACAGAGTTAGTAATTGTAGATGTTACTCTAAAACAGAAACAAATAAATCGCGGAGAAAGCTTGATTGACTTTTCGTGCATGATTATCCGTTAAAAAAATAATCAGATGATAGTTTTGCGGATATCTTTTGTAAGAAGTATAAGATATAGACCTGGACTTTTCACCATTGACAAGAGGATAACAAGGGACGTAGAACTATATGAAATTGATTGGACAGCTAATTGGCCAATCGAATGAATTTTTGACGAACATTTTGCAAACGACATTCTAAACGCATTTCTCATTCAAATTTGAGTTTTAACATAATCATTCGATTGGAAAAATTGTTTTGGTAAAAACTCCAAGTCTGTATCTTATTCCTTGCAACAGCTATACGCAAAACCGTAATCTGGCACCTATTTCGAAACAAGTAATGTCCATTTTATGTCTACGATAGGATGAATCTCAATCTGAATATGTACTGAAGGCATGAATTACTGGTCTCGGATTATCAAAGTAAAAGAAAAGTGACGGAACACTTAAGCATATGTGAAAGACTGAGAACCCTCAGATGGCTAACTCTGAAGATCGAAGAAGATTAATCCCCGATCAAATATCGTTTATTACGAAGACACATCCTGTATATTGGGATGGACGCGATCGAAATACCCATGATAAACAAGATCGTAAATGTTCAACAAATGTGATTAGAGAGAAAGAAGAAATCCAGGTGATCAGAAAAATAGGAAATCGAAAATTCAATATGGCACGAAGGAGAGGACAAAAAAGAAAAAACGATATAATATGAAAGAGAATGCGCTGTGAAAAAATGATGCAGTGGGATAAAAATTTCACAGACTGAATCTTGATCACTTCATCGCAACCGCAGCAAATTTTTCTCGTCTGCCTTCTCTTTTTAAAGTAAAGAAAAAAAAGAGAACATCGACATAAGTCTTATCACCGATGTTTATTTTTGATTTGCTATCTTCTTCATTCCCACTCCAGCACTGAAGACATGCACAACATATAGAACTACGACTTAAAGAAAGAGGAGTTGAGCAACAAAACAACATTCTACAGGGTGGGTAAAAATATTTTTTCAGGGGGGGGGGGGTAATGTTGTGATTTTAAATAGGGTCAATAACAAACTTTATACTAAATGAAAGCGCGTCAAAAATGGAATTTATTAGTATTAAACGGTAAGGGTTCTACAAAATTTTCTATATCGAACATAATAAATCTCTAGAAACAGGATGCATAAAAATGATTTTCTACAGGATAATGCTATGATTTTAAATAGGATCAATGATAGATTTTATATCAAATGAAAGGGCATCAAAAATGGGATTTGTCAGTATCAAATAGTAAAAGTTCTCTCCATCTTTTCATATCAAACATAACAAATTTCTCGAAATTTTCGCTATTTTAGTATGAAAAAAGTTCTTTCATGAGACAGTTCAAAAACTAAATTTGATTCAAATTGATGGTTTTTCTACGACGTAATGCTGCGAAAATTTCTATAAAATTTGTTATATTTAATATAAAAAAATTGACAGAACTCTTACTATTTAATACTGACAAAATCCATTTTTAATGCCCTTTCATTTGATTTAAAATTTATTATTAACCCTATTTAAAATCACAGCATTACCCCGTAGAAAACCATTTTTATGCATCCTGTTTCTAGAGATTTATTATGTTTTGATATAAAAAGTTTTGTAGAACCCTTACCATTTATAATAATAGTAAATCCTATTTTCGACAAGCTTTCATTTGATATAAAATTTGTTATTGACTCTATTTAAGATCACAATGTTATCACCTAGAAAAATATTTTTACCCACTCTGCAGATTCCTTATCTTCCAGTAGTATATGCAGGAAAAACATAAAAACAAGGTTTTTACGCGTTTAGGTTATTTTTGCTCTTTCTTTTTATCTCATGTGTATATTTGTATTAAAACGAAAAACATTTAAGCATATGATAAGATAATATAATTCAAAAACGAAAAACTTTGTCAACAAAATTACTTTCATATAGTATACATGAGAATGTGGGTGTCGATGCAAGAACCGATCTTCTCTCCACCCATACACAAAAATTCGCTTAAAGTAGCTTATATTTTTCGCTGAAAAGCGCTTATAATTTAGTATTTAAGCACTTATAGATGCTTAGATTGCAAGTTTTGGAAGTGCTGAAAAGCATTTGTAATTACCTATTTAAACGTTGAGTTTCAACGAGGGAATATTCATAGGTGATCCGCTTCTATTGCCGTTATACTGTGCTCATGTGTAGGAAATCACAAGAATAGTGTAATCTCAAAAGATTTCGACTCTTTTCCATATGTATTTGAGATTATGGCTTTTTGTCGAACTCCTTCTAGATGAACAGTTTTCGAAAAAAAAATAACATATTTGTAAATGTTAACCTACAACTTCGTATACATGAAGGACTCACTTAGAGTATCTCATATATTAAATTTCGTATGCTTCGAATATTATATTGTCAACATAAATTTCTCAATAATATTTACGGTTTTCTTCAGTATTGTGTAAAATGTCGATATTTTGAAAAACTCATATGTTGATAAGTCAATATTCAAAATGAATAAAATTTAATATATGACATAGTATGAGTGAGACCTTGATGTGTAGTGTAGACATGAAGGTCTTAACTTATTTTGTCTCATGTATTGAATTTCATCTGTTTTGAATACTGTATTGACAGTACGATATTCAAAATGAATGAAATTTAATATACGAGATATTCTAAGCGAGTCCTTCATGTGTACGAAGTTGTAGGTTAACATTCAAAAATATGTTATTGTTTTTCGAAAACTGCTCGTCTAGAAGGAGTTCTATAAAAAGCTATTATCTCGATCATATATAGAAAAGAGTCGGAATCTTCTGGATATTACACTATTCTCGTGATTCTCTACATATGGGTGCAGTATGACAACAATCGGAGAGAATCGCTAGGAAATGTTATTTTGTAACTAGTACAAGACCTGTTTGCGACTTACTTTCTGTAGAGGACCAGTAGTTCTTAACCATTGACAATTAGATATTAACTTCGAAGACAATAAATTGGCTAATAATACTTCACTTAAATGTTACAATTTTTTTTTGACGAGTAAATTTTATTCTCGATACTTTTTGTACAAGCTAATGTAAACTGACGGTTCTGAAACACATATTTGCAAACTTTGAAGAACGGTAAAAAGTTAGAATCAACTCGTACTTGTTTGTACAGTATGTATTGAATATTCAAAGCTACGAGTCAAAAGAACTTTAATGTTATTATCGAATCATCTTTAGCCAATTAATCGATTTCAATTCGGCTCTGGATGTGATCTCTGCTTACTAACTACTGATGAACTATTGAAATCCGACACGTTCTCCACGTTATGATTTATTCTAGTGCTTTCCCAATATATAAGATGTAAGCAGTTCAAACTTCAAGTAAACATTTTTTTTTTCATCTTTTTTCACATCATTTGGTAGAGTTTGAGGTGCTGATCACGAATATCTACTTTTTAGCCTAAGCAAATGCTCTCTTCCGGTCGAAAAATATGAAATATTCGAAGGTTGTCGTGTTTCTCGAAAAAGCACATTTTTGAGAAAAACTGAAAATAAAAAAAAAAGCGTTAAATCGATTTTGGACCCAAAACTATCTTAGTGGCGGCGCCTCAAGTCGCTGCGAGTACGCTATATATAGGTCGATTTTGTAAACTTATCTAGTGTTTCTACATAAGCGATCAAGTCAAATATTTTATCTCATTCGACTCATCATATCACCACAAAAAAATTTCCGTATCCTTTTTCTTTCTTTCCTTTCCTATGTTGAGAAAATCGGTTTTTACTGATATCATAGGTATTTTAGGCGGTATTCAACAGTTTTCGAATTCAAATAAGGCTTTTAGTCATAAACTAGATACAGATTCGGAATCAACACAAAAAACTGAGTCAGATGAAGTATCTTTGAAGGAAATTCGATAACTTTCGTTTTTTCTCACATTTTCTGGTATTGTCGGAGAACTGGAATTTTTGTACATGTGTCAAAAAATGAAAGTTATCGAATTTCCTTGAAAGATACTTCATCTGATTTAGTTTTTTTGTGCTGATTTCGAATCTGTATCCAGTTTATGACTAGAAGCCTTATCTGAATTCGAAAACCGTTGAATACCACCTGAAATACCTATGATATCAGTAAAAACCGATTTTCTCAACATAGGAAAGGAAAGAAAGAAAAAGGATATGTAACTTTTTTCCTGGTGATATGATGAGTCGAATGAGATAAAATATTTGACTTGATCACTTATGTAGAAAAACTAGATAGGTTTACAAAATCGACCTATACGTGGTGCACTCGACTCAATTCGAAGCGCTATTAAAAATAGAGTTTTGAGTCTAGAGTTGCTTTAAGAACTTTTTCTTATTCAGTTTTTGATGCTGAATCTGAAAAAAAACATTTTCAGAAGCAAAAAAAACCAGAATAAAGTAGAAAATTTTGCACATTTCGAGAACAAATGTGTTTTTCGCAAAAATCGATATCTTTCGAGTATTTCATATGTTTCAACCGGGAGAGAACATTCACTTAGGCTAAAAAGTAGATATTCGTGATCAGCACCTCAAACTCTACCAAATGATGTGAAAAAAGACGAAAACAAAATTTTTTACTTGAATTTCGTGCTGCGGACATCTTACAAACAAATCAACTATCAAGTATTAGAACTTGTCCAAGTATATAATCAATGGTTAATTCAACAACTTCAAAATTCATCTATTATTTAAATGCAAAAAAAAAATATCTTTGTTATATCTTTTCTTTTTTACATTATTGTTTTTATTGGCAATCAAAGATTTTTTTTTTTCTACTTGTTATCTATACAATATAGAAAAAGAAAACACATAGCAACATTTCATTTCACAGAAATAATGAAAGAAAATAATTATTAATCTATTTACATAACAGAAATTTTTTTTCCCAGAAAGTAAAAAATAAAGAAAAGAAACAGAGCAGAAGAAGCTAAAACAAGAGACAAAGAGAAAAACGAAATTCTTAATAATAAATAAATAAATAAACTCGTCATAGATTAACGCATTAATAATCGTCGTAAATTATTTCGTGTTTTATTTGAAAAAATAGGTGATATAGAAGCTCGTTTACGCCATGGAGATTTTATTGGACCTATTGTTGTTTTACATGGACTTGATGGATGATAAGGTCCTGAACAATATTGACAAAAATTATTTTGACATAATGGATTTGTACAAATACTAAAAATAAAACAATCAAAAAATTATTTCAGACTAAAATATAGTTGAATTTTATTATCTATCAACAAATAATAAACTAATTAAGGCCACCCCCCCCCCTCCTCAAAAATCGATCTCAGCCCAGGAACATTCAAATGACATGAAAATTTCAGGATATGTTGGGGTTGGTGAGACATGGCTATGGTCAAATTTTCAGTCCTATAGCACGATGTTTAACCGAGATCTGCACCAAACAAGGGGCAAAAATAGCTCTTTAGTATCTCCAAGTTTTCTCTGTGGATCTTCATTGTAGACATTTCATTTTTTTTTTTTGTTTGAAAGAGCATGTCAGAATGCAGCGATTCTCGTGGTCCTTTTTTTAAAGTCTTACTTTTTAGGGGAAAAAACCGGAGCGAAAATTCAATGACTCAAAAAACTTCTCTAAAAATTGCGCTGCTCCAATAGAGATGTTATCTTCTATGGTAATAAAAAAGCTTATTTTAAAAAAAGGCCCACGAGAGTCGCTAGCCCTGCACACAAACTTTCAAACAAAAAAAAAATGTTTGGTTTTATCTCTTACTGTGATGGAGTTCTGCTAGAGATACGTCGTTGAACTCACGTTCTGAGAAAAACGAAAAATGATTTTTTTGTAAAAACCGCTTATTTTTCGAATAGCAGGTGACAAAAATCTTCCAGAATTTTCGGAAAAAAAGAGGTATTGAGTAAAAGCTTTTGTCATTTATGAAAGAGCATTTGACGAGCTATATCCCCATGAGGTTATCTCAATTTCGACGAAAAGTGACTTTTTTGAGGGGGGGGGGGGTGGCCTTAAGTATATACCTTTTACATACTGATGATATGAAAAACTAAAAACGACAACTTGACTTATAACTCCTACGAAATCTTTCAACGCGATATCGAACCGTAATATCAAATATCTTACAATAAAACATTTCTAAACGTTAGATTTCTACTAGTCTCATTGAATTCTGTTGATAAACAAAAAATATCCGTTCGGTTAGCATATTACAATTATTTGATAGAATGAAAAAGCATATCTAACTTTGTTTGTTTGTTTTTTTTTTTTTTGTAAAACATACCCATGCTGATCATTCACATCAACAATAGAAACAAAACCACAAAGTGGACAACGTTTAGGAATTGTTGGTCCATGTAAATATTTTAAATATCCATAGCGAAATGTCATTGTACTTGCAGTAAGATTAATATTATCTTCTGTTGATTGATTTTGAGATTGAATTCTATTTGTTTCTATATTTGTTATTTCAATATTAAATGGTATTGTTGATCTTGAATGAATTGTATTTGTTATTGTTTGCATTGGTGTACTTGTTAATTTTTTATTTATTATTAATGATTGTTCAATAGTATTATTATTATTATTAAATAAATTTCGTTTAACATTTTTTGTTCGTTTACGTTGATAATAATTATTTAAAATAAAATTCCATTGTTTACATACATTTAAACAATAATATAAATCATTATTTGATAAATTTTTTAATATATTATCAATTAAATGATATGTATTACGATAATATAATTGTGTTAATATATCAAAATATTTTCTTGTTGTTATATAATTTTCATAATCAATTATTGAATGAAATTTTTGTTTTATAGGATTTATTGGAGATTGAATATTATATTCAGATATTGGAGAATCATATTGATTAAAAACAACAATAGATGGTGATAAACGAGATGGAGATGTTAAATATGAAGATGATAATGTTAAATAACCTGAATCAAATCGATTATTAACAGACATAAGTGGATGAAGAAGATCATTTGAACTATCATTATTTTCATCATTCATATAACTCGACATGTCTTTTATATTATCGAGTCAAAACAAAGTCTAAAAAAAGGATAGGAAGAATTTCATTTTTTAAATAAAATTAATGAACTACAAATTTTTATAAATCGATGTCATGATCCGACAAAAAATGAATTTCAACTTGAAAGACCTTAAGGAGAATAACTTATTGAAAATTCTGTTTTTTTTTCTAGATCATGGTATTCATTTAAAAACTACTTTAGTATCTTCGTAGCAATAAGCTAAGAATCTGAACTATTTTCAGAATAGTCATAGCTCATTCGCATGTAGTCTCAGTTCAAAAGTGATTTATCAGTTTCGGAGACTTCTCTCATGAGAATCTAGCAAAATAAACAATTAGTAGTTCTATAATTGTACTTGAAGAAATCCGAAGTTTTGGAGAAATTAAATTGATTAAAGAACGATGAGATAGTATTTTCAAAATTTAACATTCTCATACCTTTCCTAGGATTTATTAGTTTAAACTCAAAATTTCAGAACTATGTATTAGCGAATTTTCAAGTCATACTACTATCATTCAATTTATTAGTGTACACTATGCCATGGTATTAAAATCACTATAAACTTAGACGAAAAACTTAACAGCACTTATCGTAGGAAATGAATAATTCTGTACTCTTATTCTTTCATATGTCTTTATTAATGAGACTAAATAATATGTAGGATATTGTGGATCTCATTATGTATCAAAAACTATACAACTGAACTTTTACCCGTAAGTTCAGGAAATATACTATGATAATCTTGCTATTTCTGTTAACTTTTATAAGAAATCAAATTTCTTATGAATACAAGGTCATTTTAAACAAAGATATGTTTACTATTACTTTTACTTCGCTCTTTGTCTTCTACAGACAATGAGCCATCTGTTCATTAAATTCGATTAAATCTGAGAAAATATATTTAATAAAAAGATTTTATAATTTTCTTTATTTTTATCTAAATTTTTTGTATTATATTTATATTATGTTTCTCTTTATACATTCATTATAGAGGATATTTAAAAAAATTTGATTGGTTATTCTTTGTCTATTACCTTGAGATTTGTCATTTTTATATTTCATTCTTATAGAAAAAAAAAAAAAAAAAAAGGAAAATGTCGACCACAAATAATATATTAAATCTTGTTGAAAAAGATGTTGATAAAGCAATTGAATCTGTTCAAGAATATTATAATACAATTGAAACAAATATTGATAATGTTATTGAACAAATTCAAATAATACTTTCAAATTCAATTGATGATAAATTAATTCAAAATTCTATTCAAAATTTAATAAAACCATTAGCTAAACAATATAGTGATAAACATAAAGAATTACATGGTTCAATATCAAAAATAGGTAAAACAATTGATAAATGTTTTCAATCAGATTTTGGTAATGTACCTATAATTGAATTATTTGATACAAAAGAAAAATTAAAATTAATTTATATGATTATATGTGAAGATTTATATCGTCAAGGACGTATGTCAATAGCTGAAAAATTAATTGAAGAAACAAAATTAAATGATAATGAATTATTTAATATTGAAAAAAATTTTCTTGAAGAAATAAATATGATTTTAGAAAATTTACGTGAAAAAAATCTTTTACTAGCTATTAATTGGTGTTTAAAACATAAAAATGAATTAAATAAAACAGGTAGTTTATTAGAATTTCATTTACATAAAATGCGTTTTATACAATTATTACAAATGGAAAATTTTGATGAAGCAAAAAATTATTTAACTAATTTAAGACAATATTTAATATATAATGGACAATGTGAACAAGATGTTAATCATTTAATGGGTGCATTTGTTTTTGCACGAAGAGATTTATCACAATCACCATATAAATATTTACTTGAACCACATCTTTGGTTACAATTATCAGAATTATTTATGCAACAAGCTTTTCAACAAATTGGTCTTGCACAAGATAGTCCACTTTATGTTGTCATGAAAATTGGTTTTCAATCTTTACCTGCTCTTATGAGGTAAACGAAAAAAAAAAAAAATAAGAATTTATTAATTTATAAAAATTGTGTTTTACGAGGGAAATTTTTCAGATGTCTTCTTTCAATATGAATAACTTTTTTTGCTTATAGATACTGCATAGTGTTCTAATCAAAATCCTAAATTTTGAACAAAGTGTCTTTGAAAGCTAATCTAGTTGAATTCTTTAAAGTTTCAGATTAAAAATTAGAATTCTGATTAAAACTATGTAGTATCTATAAGCAGACAAAAAACATTGAAATCGAAAGAGGATGTTCGAAATGCTTTTCCAATGTCATATAATCCCTTTCGTGCTTTCGTTTCCGCTGACAAAAAAATTAATGTCACCAGAGGATAACGATAGCTGCTTTATCACACTTGTAAATTCATTATTAGAAAAAGACAATTTCATGCAATTTACTATTTATTCGTATTCAAGACTTGTCTTTTGCTTTCTGTCTTATGATAATTCAAAGAGAATGGAAAATACTATAGATGACATGTGAAAGATTGTTACAATGACTAAAATATATCCTATCCTAGAGTTATATGATGATTAGTATGCATTGTTGTAATCTGCAAAATAAAAAATTACTACTAGTGTAATTTTTTTATTCCTCTTCAATTATCATTGAACTATTAACGAAATAAATAGTTGGACTATTGAACTGAAATAGCATGAAAGAAAATTATTAGCCAATGTGTATGTTTAGTATATAATTTCGTGTTATGTCAATGACATCATCGTATATATATATTTCAACTAAATTTTCTTTCGTCTTGTTGTTTATCTTAAATATGTACTGGTTTTCTTTTTCTACTAATAATGTTCGTTATATTCTTTCTTTCTTCCTATGCTAGTATATATATATATATATCAACCCCTCGATTAAAGAAAAAAACAAATTAAAATGTCTTTACCATTATTTATATTTGTTATGATAATATGAAGTTTGAAAAATTTTCGTTCGTTATATTCAAGAAATTAAGATTGGATATTATGTTGGTTTTTTTTTTTTTGTTAATTTATAGTATAGTAAATGCTATGCAAAATACACAAGTATGTCATATATTATCAAAAGATGAATTACCAATTGAAATTGATGTTGGTTCAGAACATCGATATCATAGTGTATTTGCTTGTCCAATTCTTCGACAACAAACAACTGATCAAAATCCTCCAATGAAACTTGTTTGTGGTCATGTTATATCAAAAGATGCACTCAATAAATTATCTACACAAAATAAACTTAAATGTCCATATTGTCCTATTGGTAAATTTTTTAATAAAAAAAAAAAAAAAATAATAATAAATATATATTATTTTTTGAATTTTTATTTTCTAGAACAAAGTCCATCCGATGCTCGACAACTTTTTTTTTGAACAAAATAAACCGGTTATTATTATTATTTTTTTTTTTTTTGTATAATAATGCATTTTATTTTTCTTGTTTGTGTCAATAATGAAGATCAGTCGTTTATCTTTGTTTTTGCTTTTTAAAATATGTACAATTTTAATGATATTCTAGATAAAAACAAAAATCATGTATAGAAAATATTTTGATCCATTGGATTATAATTTATCGGCTGATTTTCGTTTAACGAAATTATCCGATCTTAAAGGTTGAGGATGTAAAGTTCCTCGAGATGTGCTCCACCGGCTGCTCGAGGGACTTCAAACAGCCGATAAAAACGGCTATGGTGATGGACAACATCACCAAGGACTCATACCTGAGTCCAAACCAACACCGGTGGTCGGTATGTAAATCAAAACATTTAATAAAAAAGAAAAAAAAGAGATTTTTCCGAGAATAATTCATAGGAATTGGTCTTGATTCATGTGTTATTCCAATACGTCATGGAGGACTTTTTCTGGTACAATCAACTGCTTTTTTCTATCCATTAGTCGATGATCCATATGTAATGGTAAGTATTTAAAAAAAAAAAACAAGACAAAAAACAGATTCGATAAATTGAAAATATTTAAGGGAAAAATTGCATGTGCAAATGTATTAAGTGATGTTTATGCAATGGGAGCTGTTGAAGTTGATAATATGTTAATGTTATTAAGTACAAGTAATAAAATGACTGACAAAGAACGAGATATAATAATGCCATTGATTCTTCAAGGATTTAAAGTAAAAAAAAAAACACGTTCTGTTTAAAAAAATCGAATTTTTTCAAAAATTTTATTTAATAGGAATGTGCTGAAGAAGCAGGTACAACTGTACAAGGTGGTCAAACGGTAATTAATCCATGGTTAATTGTTGGTGGTGTTGCAACTGCTGTATGTACACAAAATGAAATCATCATACCAGAAAATGCTATTGTTGGTGATGTATTAGTATTAACAAAACCATTAGGCACACAAGTTTGTTTTGATTTTATATTAAAATAAAAAAGAAATTTTTGTTTTTTTGTTTTGATTAATTAAAGGTTGCAGTAAATGCTCATCAATGGCTTGAAAATCCTGATCGATGGAATCGTATTAAATCTGTTATAACCGAAGATGATGTTCGTAAAGCATATCAACGTGCAATGAATTCAATGGCAAGATTAAATAAAATTGGTATGTTTTATTTAACGAAGAAAATAATTTGAATGGTTCATCGAGATGTATGCATCATGTAGATCTAAAAGAATTCGAGTTTTTAGTTTATCGTTATGTAGATACTGCAAATTTACGGTAGTTTTTCAAATGAATGCCATAATGATCTTGAGGTAAACTGAATTTCGACTTGAAACTTTGCATAGAGCTGGGCCTTAGTCATAATAGTTTATTATGAAAGTTTCAAGTCTTTTAACTTGCTTCTATTCTGAAATAAGAACATGGAATCTACCGTTATGTGAAGGACACGCTTTTATATTAGCTATATCTTAAGATAGGAACAATAACAAGATCTGAACTACTAATAAAAAACTATTCTTTATTGTTCATTTGGTTCTACATAATGCACATAGTTTTGACTCAAAAATGATTAATTAGTTGAGAGACTTACCTTGTAAGGCGCCTCACCGCACTTTCAAAAAATCGATTTTAGGCCAGATACATTCTAACCATATAGAATTTTCACTTCTATACCATGACGTTTTCATGAAATATTTATCAAACAAGAGCCAACAATAGCTTTTTTTGTGATAATCGAAAAATCCTCCGTGAGATCCTTCACATTGTCCTTTTTTTCTAAATTCATGTGAAGAAAACAGACGATTAGTTCAATAAAGCTAAAAACAACAGGTTATCTACTTGTATAAGTAGATTATTATATTATAATAAAAAAGTTTAATTCAAAAAACGGATACTGTAGCTTCACATAATTCGCTTTGAGACCAAAAAATTCGATCGGTTACAATGTAGATCCTCCGAAAATTCTGGGATGCATGATCAGAAAAGCATAAACAGTAAAAAAAAATGCACACTTCCTACAGGCATAACAGACACCTAAATAACGTCTCTCTTCTGCCATACACTGTGACAAATATCTCATAGTATAGTTATTTCCTTATGATGGGCATACTCGCGAGACTAATCTAATGTGAAATTAGTATGAAACATGACTAAATTTAAGATAACCTACTGCGCGAAAGTCTTGGCACAAAATGTTTGTTCAATTTTCTACTCTTTAACCTTCACTAAAGCAAATGGAAAGTAGTTAGTTAGAATTAGAATTTCACGCTTTGTATAAATATAGATTCAGAATTATTTTCTGACTTAAGAATGATTAAGTAGGAGCAAATAATTGGATGACGCGACAAAAAGACATCTGTGCAAAAGATAAAGTTATGATGTTTTGACATAAACTTTTGCTCATTTTTTAAATAATAAGATGCCATTGAAAAGTATTAAGAGTAGTCAATCTGAGTCAGAATTTTACGCTCTTTCTAAATATATTGTCAGAATTGTTTTCTGACTTAAAACTATTTAACTATGAACACATAATTGACAAAATAAGCTGCTGTTTTGCATTAAATAAAATAATTAACTTCACTAGATGTTATTTTCGTACAGTTTTAAATCTATATTATTGCATAGAGCATTTTGTTTTCTATAAAATCGTGGATTGCAATAAGTTTCAGCTCCAAAAGCTCAAAGGCTATAAGGATAATTTAACAAGCCATTTTCTACATAACATGGTATATCGTCCAAAACCGTTGTTTTGTGAATATTGTTTAACAGATTTTGAGCTATCGTTATGATATTAAAAAAACAGAATAAACTGAACATTTAGTAGAGCAAGCTTCGCTCTATAAACTGATATGTAAAATAATTTTTTTATCATTTGTATTGAGGCAGTGTCAATCGAGATATGAAAAACTGTGTACAGACGCCTCTTTTTGGACTATCCAATTATTTGTTCCTACTTAATCACTCTTAAGTCAGAAAATAATTCTGAGCATATATTTATACAAAGCATGAAATTCTGGTTCTAACTAACTATTTTCCATTTTCTTTAGTGAAGGTTAAAGAGTAGAAAATTGAACAAATATTTTGTGCCAAGACTTTCGCACAATAGGTTAGTTGTTCTTTTCTTTTGTTTCATACTGATTGAAACATGTATGTGATTAACATCTTCCATCATTGACAGACATTAACAGTAGGTGATAATTGCATAAGTCGAAACATGTTGATGAATTTTCTCTTTTATAATAACAATAGCTCCATTGTATTTGAAATATTACTCCTGCTGAGATCGCACTAACAGTTGTCAAAAACAAAAATACTTTTTTTTTCTAAATTTTTATGTAGTTTGATGATATTTGTAATAATATGATTTAATTATAATTAAATATTTTCTTTTTTAAGGTGCATCTCTTATGCATAAATATAATGCACATGCATGTACAGATGTAACTGGTTTTGGTCTATTAGGTCATGCTCAAAATTTAGCTAAACATCAAAAACATGATGTTTCATTTGTTATACATAATTTACCAATAATAGCTAAAATGGCAACAATAAGTAAAGCTTGTGGTAATGCATTTGGTTTATTACAAGGTACAAGTGCTGAAACATCAGGTGGTTTACTTGTGGTTTTACCACGTGAACAAGCAGCAGCTTATTGTAAAGATATTCAAGCACAAGAAGGTTATCAAGCATGGATTATTGGTGTAGTAGAAAAAGGTGGTCGAACAGCAAAAATTATTGATAAACCAAGAATTATTGAAGTACCAGCAAAAGATACTGAAGGTGAATTATGGTAAATTCAAATAAAAGAAAATGTTTTTGTGTATTGTTTGTTTTTTTGTCTTTTTGTTCAATTTATTGTTTTTCTTTATAAGAAGGATTTTTTATGAAGTATTAATAATGAAAACTTCAGAATCTATTCTGTTGTAGTTATTAATCTGATTGTTCCTATAATATTTGTAAAGATTAACATAAATTGATACATTTTCTTTATTTGTGTATTGTATAATGTTGTGAAAAAAATAAAATAAAATCTTTAAAAAAGATTCAAATAGAAAAATTTTATAAAATTAATTTACAAAGATTTTCAATGACATGTTCATCTATAAAAATCTATCGGATATGAATTACTTAGAGAACATATGAAAAGTAGTGGCGGAGATATTTTAATTGCTTATAAAAAGTTTAAGAGAATTTCTCTTTTCGAGACTTCTCTGGAACGACTCGACGAAAAATTATGAAATTTTCAAAGCAGACAAGCCTCGATAAGTAGAGCAAAAGTTGTCATAGACTCAAAATTTCTACATGCTTTCTTCACAGAAATATGAAGGTTGCAAAAGCCAAAAATTGTCAGAAGTTCCTTCCTCGTAAAACTCTAAACTTCATTTTTTTTAATGACAACTAGCATCAAACTGGAGTGCATGTTCCTTTTTGTCTTTCCAAAAATATCGTTCTTAGGACTCAGAAGATGCTGTTGAAAAAACGTATTTTGTTTTCAATGGTACTAATTTTTTAAAGGCTACTCAATGCCGTAGAAACAACATTTGGAAGAGAAGATAAATGTGCAGTCTAACTTGGTTAAAAATATTTGAGTCTGATCGGGCGTACTATGTGGGAAAAAAGGACGGCAAACTTCAGTTTTTCTGTTCAAAAATTGCTTTTGAGAATAACAAAAAACATATTTTCCTGTATGTATCAGAACGTTTTTTCTTCAACTAAAGTGATCAAAAACTGATTCTATTCGGTGGTGTTAAAAGTCTATGATTCATGCTCTCAATATCTTTCGAATAGAAAATAATCACCATCATTAGGAGAAGTTTGCATAAAAATGATAATTGTAATGCAAGTTTTTATGCTAAAGATTCCGAGAGTTGGGTTCAATAAAGGTACTAACGAATAACGAAGAGTTCTCATTTATATGGCATCTGACAGATGAGATTTGAAAGCTATATTAGCAATGAAAAATTGAAAATTGAAAAAATTTTGATTTTAACATTCGAAAGGGAAGAGGGATCCCTTATAAAGAAAGTTTTTCTCTATGTGATCTGATAGTAAAAACAATGCTCTGCATTTTCATTATATTTGATCATTCTTCAATAAAACGTCTCATAGTGGACAATTCACAGTACGATGAAATGATTTTTACTGGAACTGAACTTCTCTATAGTGAATATTTTGCAAAAGTTCCAATGGTGTCCATGATAGTTTAGAAAAGACCTATGCTTCTTATAGTGCCTATTTTTGAAAAGTTCAAAGACCGTTCGTTATAGAGAGGTTATGCTGGAATAAAATTTCGATAAGAGCTGTTTATTATGGTAGGCGACGGCAGGCCCCTCGATATGGCGGGGGCTAGCCCCCGGCACTTTTTGAGCGTGTCTGCGAAAATTTTCTTGCTATTTGTCTGCGAAATTTTTAGTAGCGCTTAGAGTTCGGATTGAAAGGGCCCGGCTGTCGCAGAGGTACTTCAGTACGCCTAGAAAATTTTGTTGAAGACCTTTTTTTTTTTGCTCTTCACTTCTGACTTTTGGAAAATTAGGGGAGCATTTATGAGTACTGTCTGCGAAAAGTTATTAGCCCCCGGCACTCTTGAAAACAATCGAGAGCCCTGGGCGACGGTAATGCTAAAGATAAATCTGGAGATTCCGATTCTTGTTGATGAACTATAATCCTATACCTATGCTATTACGTTTCGTTTGTTCTAAGTAAAATACTTCTGAGATTTTGTTTTTTTTTTTTTTTTGAATTCATCTCTTTAATTAAAACTAAATTTTCTTTATTTGAGAATAAAATCTTTCCATGAAAATGTGAACAGAAAAAAAAAACAATAAAGCAGTTGTTTTTTTTTTTTTGTTAAGAAAAATTTCGATCTAATACAACAATTTGTTTTGGTATATAACCTTGTTGTCCATCACCACGTTTGACTAATCTCCAATCACCAATAGATTCTATTGGATTAATAAGTGTAACAACTTCAGATTCAAGTACACTTATATCACCAACAAATTGTCTTTGATAATTTTCAATAACACGTAAACGATTATTTGAACGAAAAATTACGGGTTGATTATCTAAAATATTTATTGATAAATTTTTATGTGGAGTTAAATTTAATGTTTCATATGCATCTTTATCATATGTATAAAGAGATATATTTGAAATTTGTTGAGATAAAACTGATTCATCTTTTATTTGTGGACGAGTAAATGTTGCCGATTTAGTTGAACGTGAATTCTTTAAAATTTGTGGTTCATTATTTAAATAACATGGTCCAATCGATGAAATAAAATGACCTGGTTGTGATTTTGACATACTAGACGATCGATTATTGGTAATTGATAGACGTGAATAACGTGGTTTATCATAAATGCTTACATTAAGTAAACTAATATTATTCTGAGAAGGTGATTCAAATAATGGATTAGAAGGTTCAAGTAAACGAATACAATAAATTGGTATAAAACCAGTTTCACCAGTTTCAGGTATTTCAATAAATACCCAATTGGATATTGTATAAAGTGCTTTAACAGTTGTACCTAAAGAAAATAAATGTTTCACTTCATTTATTTTAAGTGATATGTTATTTTTTTTATGTGAAATTATATTTATTTTTCACAATAGAACTTAAGTTTTACTATCGAACGGAATAAATAAAATCATTATTTTATTAGATTTTCTCCTTCGAAAGAACGAACACCTATTTTCAGGAGTATCAACTAGATCTTCGAAGAGGTCCCACCCTCTTGGCTCTCATACTGGATAGAATGAAGTCGATAATCAATACTTTAAAGAATGATCTTTAAAAAAAATCCTCCACTGCTAGTGCTCATCGAGTGCAAGTTTTTTCAACCTGAAAAGTTCAACATTATGTCTTAATCTGACAAAGATACATCCCGAGATATGACTCACCAATCGAACTGATATTTTACCCATTAGTAAGCTCCGCGGAGACTAGTTGAAGCCTGTAAGAGTTCATCTCTATGCATTATTCTTAATAAATCTCGTGAACCTTTGAATGCCCTAAAAATTTCAGCCCAAATGAATGTGTTCTTCTTGAGATATTGAATATCCAAAAACGATCATTTATCGCAAGGAAAGGTAAGAAAGACCAATATTTTCAACAGTCGATATCTCAAGAATAACATATTCTATTGAGTGGAAATTTTGTCTGAGGTAAAAAAAAAACTCAATACAATTTTAATAACTTGAGAAGGACCTCTCCAGACTCACCTATGGGCAAAGTATCAGTTCCATTAGTCCAAGTCACACTTGGAGACCTTTTCTCGTGAGTTTTCAAGTCGCTCCGAATATGCTACATACTTTTTATTGATTTTTTTTTGTATTCTATTACTAACACATTTTTCAAACAATCTTGATCATGATCTTATAATAATTAAATTATAATTGACTGTTACTTTTTGAGTATAACTCGATGGATTCTACTCGCTGATATCAGTCATCGAAAGAAAAAGGGCAATATCACATGTTCCTTTCTTTTTTTCCAATTAACAAATCACCATGTCAATATCTATATAAGTTACACCCAACTTCCTATTTGTTTTCAATTAGATTGTCGAGTAGATATTGAACGAATAAAAACAATAAATCACATCTTATGTCTATCTATCTGTCTTTCATTATCGGCTTAGTTGTCTACCTGTGTACATGTCAAGATTAACAATATATATATTGACTTAAAAATAAATGCATGAAAAAACTCTGTTAAATGAAATGAGAAAAAAAAAGCAATTAAACGGTAGTTCAATTGGATCAAATCGATCACCTTGTTTTTTTTTTCTCTTCATTTCTAAATCGAAAGAATTGTTCAAGCAGAACAAAGTGGATATATAATACCTTTTGTAACGGCAATTGTATTCTTATTAAATTGTGTCGATTTAACATGTAACGGCTTATATGATTGCGAAATAATCATAGACAGATTGGCTGGTGATGTAGGCGTAGCATGAGACAGATGTTCATAACTATTCATATTTTTTAACGGTTGTTCATGATTATCAACCGTTATACATTCCATATTTGATTCTACTTGAGTTGATAAATGATATGAATTTTTATTTCGTCGTTTTTTTGAACGCTAGTTTAATTAAAAATATTCAATAAACAAAAAGAAAAAAAGACAAGATTATTTAAAGTGATGGAAAAAAGTTTAGAAACAACGATTTTTTTTTCATAATGTTAAGCACGTAGCTTCAATCCAAATAGTGATTTTAATAGCTAATGAAGCTTTTATCCAATACACTTTAGAGCAAGATGAACAATGATGGCAAGGCTCTTAAAAAACCGAACACGATATTTTTCACGTTCTAGAAGACTTTGTCAAAGCTATTTTTGAACGGTGCCATCTTAAAGAGCACAAAATTCTGAGCAAAGTGATGGATCACTGAGTTTTCTACGAACTTCTCGTAAAAAGTTACACGTATCACAAAAATCATGAAAAAGGCGTTTGTAGTCGATTTTTAAAAAAATTTCGTTTTTTCATGATTTTTGTGATACGTGTAACTTTTTACGAGAAGTTCGTAGAAAACTCAGTGATCCATCACTTTGCTCAGAATTTTGTGCTCTTTAAGATGGCATTGTTCAAAAATAGCTCTCATAAAGTCTTCTAGAACCTGAAAAATATCGTGTTCAGTTTTTTAGGAGCCTTACCATCATTGTTCATCTTGCTCTAAAGTGTATTGGATAGAAAACTCCATTGGCTATTAAAATCACTATTTGGATTGAAGCTACGTGCTTAACATTATGAAAAAAAAATCGTTGTTTCCAAACTTTTTTCCATCACTTTATAGTTTTATATAATCTAATTAATAATCATACAAATATATTAAATTTAGTTGATTTTTTTTGTGTTGATAATGTCTCAGTTTTATCTGTTACAAATTCATAACATCCATCTTTATTAATCCGCTTACATGCATTTGTAAGTTCTAAAAAGAAATAGAAGAAGATCAAATAAATTTTTTCTTCTTAAGAAGATGTAAAACATATTGATAACATAATGTTTACAGAAATGATTAATTATATGTCATTTGAAAGATTCTCTTTTTTTTTTTTTGTTCATTTTCAAAAGAAGGATTATAGATTATGAAAACATTTTTAAACTCACTTAAAATATTACATGAATCCCACATGGCAATGAATGAATAAGAAGTGAATGGAATTTTTTTTTTTTTTTTTTTCTGTTTTATATACTCAATAGGGAATGTATAATTATACCTATAGGTATATGAAAAGAGGCTCATTTTCTTCTTCTTCTTTTTTTTTCCTATTGAAAAATTTTACCTTTAATATGCTTACGAAATTGAAGGACTCGTAGAAGTTTTGTAAACGTTTTTGATTGATCCATGTATTTCAAGAAATAATAATATTGGTGTCAAAAATAATCATTCTAATCAGTATAATGTCTCTGTAAACGAAAAGAAACGAAAAGAGAAAGAAATAAATATTCATTACATCTGCTTGTGTTTCTTTTTTTGGACCAATGAATGAAAGAGAAAGAAGACGAAAAAAAATAACAAAATGACCTTCAATAAAGTTCACTATGAAATAATTGAAAAAACAAAATTCATCTTATCAAATTACTCAAAAGTGATAATGAGATATAGATTTTTCTAATGATGAATATCTTCCATTGCTATCATCATATATATATATAACGGTCAAGCGTAACTTTTTTTGTTTTCTATTGATTGATTTATCCTATGGGAATATGATTGTTATCAAAAAGCAAAAAAAAAAAAGTCACTTATTTTCTCTTTTAATTCAAAGAAAGAAAAAAAAAACATTTATACAGTAACATCAAGAATTTCTGTTGAATTAGTTATATTTTGTTGACATAATAATTGTTCATTTACACTATTAGATCGATGACGTTTTATCCATATATGTTCTTGATTTTGATTATTATCTATTAATGAATGATATGAAGAAGTTTTTGAATTTGGTATTGATTTTAAACTTGATTGATTCGATTCACAAACACATGATGATTGTCGTTTTGATGAAGTTAAAGATAATTTTTCTGTTTTAGCTATACGTTTTGATATTGTTTCATCAACCGATAATCTTAATGTTTGATCATCACCTGTTGATATATTTGATGTACGTTTTTGTTGAATTAACATTGATGGATTTCTTATCATACTAATTGTTGGAGAACTTACATACTAAACAAAAAAAAAATAAATAAATTATTATTACAAGATTTTTATGTGAATAGAAAAGAAAACTTTAGAAATTGATTCTGTTAATTCATATAATGAATATACTTGATTCATTTAAATACGGAAATAATAACAAAGATGTACATTTATCTTGAGAGGTACTTAGAAAATAATACATAAATTTAAAACATAGTATAGATTCAAGTGTGTATAGAGTTTCGAGAAAAGTATTTTTCCAGATGTTGTATGGAGTTGAATTTTTTTTGGAAATATGATTTAAAAGGAGTGTCGAAGTACAAGAGTGGAAATGTACATTCTCCGTCTACAAATAGTGTAGCAATAAACACGGGTCGAGATAAGGAAAAAGTTGAATATAGTGATTCCTAGAGGCCTTAGCAGAAGATCATGAAGGTAGTAGAGCAGTGCCCTACAATCTTGAAGGAAATTCATCCAATATAGTTTCCCTGTTGATAATTATTACGTTTTTCTTTTTTATGGTGGTAGAGCAGTGCGCACGTTTGTTTACGTCACGACTAGTCTCTTCTACTTTTTGCTCTGTATCTATGAGAGTTTTGACTCGTTGTCTATCTGTTGAACTCTGAAAGACAGTTCACTATCTGTTAAGCAGTCTATCTCTAATTGTAGACTGTAACAACTATATATATATATATATATATAGACTGATAACAGGAGGAAAAAACTCATACGGTAAAAATCTCGTAAATTATAAAGAAGATTAGAAGGAAAGGAAACTCTATGACGCATGACTAACAATAAGAGAAAAACAAATATACGGATATAATTATATAGATAACGAGGATTATTTTAAGAAACGATTAAACTCAAGATATCTGTCTTTCATTACGGATACTTATTAACAATGTGTAGGAGTTTTCAAATTGATACATGAATTTATTCGATTATATTATCCAAATAGTGATTTATATAAAGAATTTTCCAAAATGAAAATGATTGCTGGTTTTTTCAAGAAAAAGATTTCTGAAAAAATCAAAACTCAAGTTTTTCATCTCCTAAAATTCGAAAATAAAATTCTATTTGAATTACATAGAATGATATAGAGCAAATAATTCTCTACACAAAAAAAACAACATCTTTCAGCTTTCTACAACGTTTTTTTGACCAAGTACGGAAGACACAAAAATGGCGATGCCACAAGTTGTGCACAGATTAAAAAGATTCATATTTGTATTCTGAAGCTAATCACCTAGGAAATTGAAATAAAGGTAATACTTCATCGTAAGCTTAATTGAAACACTGTTAGCTCAACAGGCGGATATAAAAAGACTTTTTTTTGATCATCTGTATACAAAAAAAAAATCCACTTTTGTGACTTCTATAAGATTGATGTAGTTTGATCAATAAACGCTATTTGCGAATTTCAAGATATGAAAAACTTGAATTTCGAAGATCGTATCCTTGAAAAACTAGTAGTTATTTTCATCATTGAAAATTCTCTAGTGAACACTTGCAGTTCTCTAATATGCAAATTCATTGTGTTTTATATTTTAATCTTGAAGAGTTTGCATTAACAAATTTTCATTCTAATAGAAAGATTAACTAATTTTCTTTGTAGATAAAATTTCATTAAAAGAAAAAATAACTTTTTTTTTTGGTTTCTTACCGATTCTGTACTTTGAGAAAAATTTATTTCACGTAATTTAATATTATTTCGTTTTGTTGATTTTAATTTTAATGATAAATTTGATAAATGAGTAACAAACCATGATTGTACATTATCATCAATTCTATGTGATTGTCTTTGATTAATAGGATGAAAATATTTTGAATTCATATCAATACTTAAATTTGATACACGTGTATGATATTGATTTCCATGTAAAGAATAAAATGATTGATTTGTTAATGAAATATTATCAAGTGAATTTGAATTAATACGTCGTTGATGAGTTCTTGTTATTCGAAATTTTGGTTGAATAAAATATACACAATATTTATTTAAAAATGTAAAATTTGAACGAAATATTGAACGAAATCGATCAGAAAAACAACAATATAATAGAAAATTAGATGAAGCATTTATAGCTACGAAACAATTTGCAAAATTATTATAAATAAGAACTTCGGATGTTTGAGCTGATACAGGAAAAATTGATTGAACTGTTAAAGATATTGCTTGAGGAATTTGACAAACAGTAAAAACAATAACAACAGCGACTAAAATAAAAAAGAAAAGATTGATTGATTGATTGATTTATATTTAACTTACTTAACATAATTGTTGTTTTTCTTTGTTCACTATGATTTCCTCGATTATGTCGACGTAATAGAATACCTTCACGATTTTGACGTTGATCTTGTTTTGAACGACGAACATAAGAAATAAGAATTGTATTGAATATTATAAGAAGCAACAATGGAATCCAAATAATAGCAAATCTATTAATTTCGAAAAAAAAAATACATGAAACAATATCAAGTAAAAATATTTATATTTACTATTCTAAATAATTATACTGTGAAATTATCTTTTCTTTTTTTGAAATTCTACTAATATATATCAAATCTGAAATTCATACCGGCAGTGAACTGACAAGTTGTCGTCCTGTGGATAGCGATATTTCACATAGTCAACTGTCGACAAAGTTTCACTACACATCCTCTATGAGATACTAAGAACGAAAAATTTAATAAACCACACCAGTCAGACGGAAATCCGTATCAGTATCGGCTTCATCTCTGATAGCTTGGATTAGATGAAATATGCATATACTTAAATGTAAGCATCGGAGATGGGCATGATTCGGATCTTTCTAAAGTAAAACTGAATTGAAAAAAAGAATTTAATTGAAATTCCATTAAAGGTAACGAAAATTGATAGGTTTTTGTTCAATATGTTCCTCATCTTTCCAACGATTGTCATCTACAATCCTGCTTCTATAATAAAATACTTTTTTGTATCAACAGATCTCGCGGAGTCGCTTTCCTAATTATTCAAATCTTTGAAGAGGATCAGAGACGTATATATACATCCAGTTTTAAATCAACTCCTAATTAATTTGTGTATACCTCTTATGATCTGCAGTAGCGCACAGATCGTCAATGTGTCACACTGTCATCTGTATTGTAAGGGTGTGGCTGGAGAGAAGACTTACACTCACTCATATCCACGTTCAAAGTCTTAAGATTATCATAATGTAAAAAACTTTTAGATAGTTTTTGATATCGATATGAACAAATATATCCTATCAAGGTTTCGAAAATTTCTTTTATTTTATTAGGCGTAATCCCATCCTCAAGAGATTATTTAATTAAGTAATAATAGCCTTAATCAATATATTTAATCAGAAATATGTCTATTTTTCAGGATTATCACCTAAAAATCAATGAAGATTGAAGTTAAAATGATTTATATATCTTTTCAATCCTTGAAATATAATTTTGAATACCAGAAATTGTCCTGATTTTCTTGAAAACTATTTCATTTATAAGTATTTAAAAACATAGGAATCTAATAAACGACTACTCTAGAAAGTTTGTTCATTTGCACATAACAGTATGCCCAGGATTTTCAACTATAATGCATACTGAGAAGTTTTTACGTACAAGAAAACTGTGTAAAAATTAATTTTTAAGAGTACCACCTTAAAGAGCACAGAATTTTGAATAAAATGAGGGATCACTACATTTCTTAAGATTTTCTCTTAAAAAAGCTATAAACATCACAAAGTGAAATTTAATGTAACATTGATAAAAATCAGTTAAAAGAACACAATTTTTTGTTTCTCATAATGCATATAGATTTTTAAGAGAAGATTGAAGGAAATACGGCAATCTACTATTTTATTCGAGATTTTATGCTCTTTAGGATGGTACCTCTAAAAATTAATTTTAACATAGTATTCTGAAATTTAAAAACTACTGTGTTTGATTGATTTTTCAGTCAAAGTCACTATATACATTTAATCTAAATGTTTGATATCAGAAGAAAATATTATCATGTTGTTATTATTATTATTTCTTTTTTGTGTTAAATAATATAAATCTATTCTTATTTTTGAAATTAAAAATACATACGTAACAAAATTAAAATAGATTTGATGATAAAGTAAACTATTTCCTAATGCAGTTGGTGTAGCTTTAATATAACTTGTATAAATAATTGTATTTGATATATTTTTTTTTTCAATTATTCGTTCAAGTTTCATTTCAAATGCTGATGGTAATGTACATATAAGTGATGCACATAAAACGCTTAAAATTATTTTTCGTGCTCGATATACTGTACACCATGTACGACTTTGTAATGGATATGTTATAGCAACCCAACGTTCAACTGTAAATGTAACAGTTAACCAAACACTTGAATTTGATGAAAAATCTACTATTGGTCGACTTATTGTTAAAATTATTTCTGTTAATGATGTATCTTTAAAACAAGGATTTTGTAATGTATTTATAATAAGTGTTAATAATAGATAAGCAATATCAACAATAGCTAAAGCAACTAAATAATTATTTGTTGATGACATTATCATACGACGTTTTGTTAAAACAATAATTGCTAGAATATTACCAGTTACACCTATGAAAATTAAAAAAATAGAAAACAAAAAAAAAAAAAAAGCTTTTAGTATAATGTCCAATCGATTTAAAATATGAAATATTATAGATTCATTCGATTCGTAAACTGAAATTCTATTCACATCAATCATACATCTATTTGAGTCGAACCGTCAATCTGTGAAAAATCTTCGGGCAGGAAGAAGGAGAGTGTGAGAGTTCACAGTTTTTTTTTTGGGGGGTTTCGGTTCTGATCTAGAGAATTTATTCGTATCATATCTAAAAATAAAAATTTCTTCAATATTCTTTTTGTATTGTTTACTCGATGATTAAAACCTATTTAACTATAATCTTTAGTTTCGATTGAGAGAATTTCAATCTCAACCATTTTCTCTTTCATATGAATGCCGCATATTTCACAAAGAAGATCATGATTTTTTTTTGGAAATTAATAATTATGATTTAATCGAAAAATTTATAATAATAATTATTATATTGATATGATATTAGATTCATTTTCTGAATGCTAGAAAAAAAACAATTTTTAATATGTTCGAAGATTGATATATTTAAATCCTTTGGACAAGAATCTGATGATTAACAAGATGACATTCGTTGACTGAATTATCGTAAATATATAAAAATAACTACAGTCAGAGAGATTGACATATTCATGAAGCTTTTGTTTCTTTCTCAATTCTATTAGACTAATAATAAAAACAAATATAATCAACACATATTACAATATATTCAATTTTTCAATAGAATATATTCAGTTAAATATTTTATATATATATATATACAATCTCAATATATTAAATTGATTAATTATCCTAAGTAGATTCTCACTTAATAATAGAAAATATTTTTTCAACGAATTAATAAAATTCATCAGGAAATATTTTATTAATGTAATTCATTAATATGTCTAATAGTAATCTAGATGAAAACAAAATAACTAATAAAGAAAAGTCGTCTTGAACATTGAATGCTGATTAAATTTCATAGTACTTCATAAGAATTCGTGTCTTATGCCTTTTATTTCGAGAATTATAATTGTTTGAATAAATTATTTGAGTAAAAAATTGAATGATATAAATTTGATTTGAAATTTCACTTATGAAACTATTTCATTAGTCGGAATGTCTCTTTTTTCAAAAAAAAAAAAACAAACATAATTTACAATACTTCGAGAATGAATCATATTTTTCAAGTCAATCTAATAATTATTAAATTATTTCATCGGTAAAATCTCAATTCAAATATATGTCATTCAATTTTTTATTAAATAGATTACTTAAGGTCGAAAATTTAATCAAATAATTATAACTTCAGAAGAAAAAGATATGAATATAAATCCTTTTCTAGACTTTTACTAGTCTCCTTCGGATAGTATGTAAATATAATTAATTTTTATAAAATATTAATTACCAAAAAATGTTATAATAGGCCAAAGCCAATGTTTTGTTAATGTTCGAACAAAATATAGATTTGGATCAGTATTTTGTCGAGCTAATATTGATGCATTACAATAGACAAATCCGAACATAATTTATAATAATTGATTGATTTATCATATGAAATTAATCAAAAATAATATGAAAATATATAACACATACTTGATTAATTTAGTATGTTATTTTCTATTATTCATAATAAACTGGCAAATTTGTAACGTTATTCTATTATCTAGAAAAATAACAATAACAAAACAAAATTATCTCGCTAAGATAAGAACAAAAATCTAAACGTTAGGAAATAAACAGATGTCTATCATTATAGAAGCGCACATCTATATAAGATATATACTTAATATTTCATTTAATCAAATATACGTTGGAAGTAGTCGAGAAAAATAGAGAATAAGATAAAAGAAAATTCATTCGACTTCTAATTATTATACTAATAACAAGTATGACAAAAAAAAAAAGATTAATATTTCAATAATGTAATCATCATATATATATTTTTTTTGTTCTTATATCGGAAATTGTTTTGCTGATGATTCTATAACAATGAACAAAATTTTACTGATAATCATCAAGCAGAAAGTACATAATGTTTAATTAGTTCAATACAATGACTAAAACTATTAAAGATTATGTTCAAGATATTTAATAGAAAATGTAATGGACCGTATTAAATTTCCTGTATGAATGACATTAGTATTCTATGATTGTACTTGAAAAACCTTTCTTTTTATTTTTATCCATTAATCTTCTCAGGTTTTTTTTCTGCTTAGAAAATCTACTTGTCAATTGATGTTGTTTTTTTTTCCCTATCGTATTTGTAAATAATACATAAAGATATAATTTTATTATTTTAAGATACTCTACAATATATGAGATTACTATATATGTCTAAAGTTAATGATAATAATAGATTTTAAGCTATCATTGGTTTTGCTTACAATAGAAAGAGACTTTTGAAAATAAAACAAAAATTAGCAATCTATATTCATTATATACTTCATTTGATTACTCTGATCAAACTACGTTTAAAAAGAAAAAAAAAAAAACAGAAGCTTTTTTTTTATGGAGTCAAGTATATTCATTATCGATAGCAAAATTAAAAAAACAAAACGAGAAATAGTTTCGTAGGTGCTATGAATCCATATTAAAATACTTTACTTTTAGATTTTTCTGAAAATATTCTGCATATTCATAGAATAACTGTTAGTCGAAAAACAAATAGTAATTTTTTTGTAGTTATGATAAATAATTATTTTCTTTTACAAATTTTTCTTTTTGATGGAGTTAGAAATATAGTATTATCCTGTCATATTTATAATTGCTTTTTTTTCTTTCTCAAGTCTGTCTATTTGTTACTTTTTTTAAATAGATATCATCAATATGATAAAGTATTGCTGGATTGTCACTATTCGTATTTTCCTAATCTAAAACTGATAATTCAAAAACATTAACATATCTATATTTAGAAAAAAAAAAAAAAAAAGAAGAGTCAACGCTAAAGTTTATTGTAAAATAGAGACTATATAACGATATGCTCTTTATTCAGATAGAATATACAAGCGTTCGCAAGAAGTATGAATCTATTTTGAAATTGTGAATTTTTACTTTAATAATGAACAGAAAACAAATAGCTATTTCATATGCATATATCGTTTTCCTAATAGAATTATATCTTCATTTGTAATCAGGTAAATATATATGAGAATTAATCATACTAGATATTCGAATGATTATTATATGATCAATCGGAATTTTCTCCTCACCTTTTATTTAATCATGCGTACAATAAATATCTTTTTTTTTTTTTTCGTTTTTCATAGTTGGTTTTCTTGTGTAAATATGTAATATAACAGTTGTATACAAATATTCGAATAAGAACAAAATTGGATGATGATGATGATGATGATGATGATAATAATACAAATAACCCTATGACATTAGTTATAAAAAAAAAAACAAACTAAAGACAACTTCCTTATTAAGAAAGACATGTTTTATTTTCTTGCTCTATCGCATCCTTATTGTATTTTAAGAAGAACCGCCTAGTTTTTTTTTTCTTTCTTGCTTAGAGCATCACATTGTGTATTTCATCAAACAACTGTTAAAAATATTTTTATATTTAGATATATATATATTTCATATGTTATATGTCAATTTGATCATATGAATAGAAGTGTAATCTAGATAACAAGATGTAATATTATCTTAATATATGGACTTATAGTGAATTATCTTCTAAGATTACAAGACTGATTGATTTTATTTTGTTATTTATAAGAATAAGGATGTGTCTATTAAAATAAATATACAAACAAAAAAAAAATGATTTTACATATGAAAAGAAAATAAGATTTGTTTGTTGAATTATATATATCAAGTTTCATTTAATCAAACAGGTTTGTAGGGAAAAATGTAATATATTTATATTTAATATACTTTTATAAAGTAACATCCGAGTATTTTTTTTATATTAAATTTATTATTTTATTTTCATAGATTTCAATTTTAATTATTTAAAAAATTTATATAAAATTTCTGATATAGTATTTTATGATAAGCATCATATTATTTCTTCATGAATAGTTCTATTTTTTTTCCTTTCAATCAGATGAATATAGATTGTCTTACATGTGTTACAAATTGTCACAGGTTGTGTAAAACATTAAATTCTAATAGGAGGTACTTATTGCGACATATTTCTTTAAGCGAGCATACGACGTACGTATTTTGAATTTATAGTTTGAATCAAGGTCTAGCCATCTCTATAATATCTTCTGGTGACGCAAATAATTATTAATTCTATCCGTTTAATTTGAATTAGTAATATCTTTTTTTTGTTTTTGAAGTTCGAGTTGATGAGATTTTAAAATCTAGTTGTCTTGAGCTTGTTTGATCTAGATCATCTTATTCAGACTTACAATGTATTCACGAATAAAGACTAATCTAGAAAGAAAAAGAATTCCGAAAATCCTGAAAAGTTCAGAATACATAGCATGTATAGACTATTGACATCATCCTGCTAAGATAATTAGTTTGATTATTGTGTATTTCATTAAATGAATAGCAAAAAATATATATATATATATGACGTAGAAGCTTTAATGAGTCACATTTACAATATTGAATAAGTCGATGAAAGTATAGAGATTAATAAGAATAAACAACAATGATATTCATTAGAAATTATCAATAGAATTATTTAATTTTCATTTTCTAAAAAAAAAAAAAAAGAACAAAAGAATTTCTCAATATAACAGATACCAATCCATAATAGAAACATCGATCTATAAGACTATCAAACATTTATCCTTGAAAACCAGAAAATGGTAATATCTAATTAGAAAATTTCGAATTCTGAAAGACTATAGATATTTTATCTATATATGCATCACATTTTCTATCTTCCAGTCAAATGATTTTCACTGCTCTATCATCTTGACATAGTAATTATTCTTGGTGTAATAAATATGAGTGAATTGCAATTTTTTTGGTACGATTGACGAGAAAAAATGAAAGTAAACCTAAACAACTTTTGAGTAGTACATTTTATTAAGCTCTATGCCTCTAGTTTACAACAAAAGTTCTTCAACACTTTATCACATATTAGCTGAGATACGACTTACTTCAACGTAAAGAGATAGAAAGTTGAATTTTTTACCGGTTATATAAGCCTGAGAAATATATCTACAGTAAAAATTTGAGTGAAAACAAACGAGCTTTTCACGAGTTATACACAAAGTAATTTTCAAAAAGTGTCACTCTACATTTTTCAGTATAATGTAAATTTCTCCTGAATGATACAAGATCTAAGGCTGAAATTTTTACCACTAGTAGAAGTTTTTGTTTTGTACCTCCTATAAAAATTTGAGTGAAACCGAACGAATCGTTGAGGAGTTATAAAGATGACAATTTTCCAAATCGTCACTCTACAAAGTGAGTATACAGACCCTTTTTTCAGAAAGTTTTGCTATTTTTCTTTTTTGCTCAAATAAATCTGATAAGAAAGAACATTTTCTCATCACTTTGGTAATTGAAGAATCCTCTTTCTTTTGATATAGTCTGCGTGCTATCAGCTCTATTACAAGCTGAGTTAGAATCATGTTTTCGTCACTCTACATAAAAATGTACAAGTGTCTATCAAACAATATTAATGGTGGACGAAAGAAGGAACGAAAAATAAGATTAAAATCAGTTATATATTTGGATAGAGCGTCGAACGCTCTACAAAATAGACTAATTATCTCCTTTTCCCCTTGCGTTTTTTATAGTCAGAAATTTCATTTTCTTAGCATCCATCATGACAAAACTGATATTTTTCTGTAATAAATTTCTTATAACTCAGTGACAGTATGAGCTAGAGAACTGAAATTTTGTATGACAGTGGGGGGAGCCGAAAAGGGTATAATATATTAAAAAAAAAATTGTTTAAATCGGTTGAGACAAACGGAAGTTATTAGCGAAATACAGCTGAATCATCAATCGTAGCAAAAAGTTGCAATTCACTCATATACATAATAACACAATTATTAGATTGAACTTCAACCTTAAAATTTCAATTCTATTTAACATTAGGAAAAACCAAATAGTTAAAAAAACATAATATTTTTTTTTTATATTGAGAAATTTCATGTGTTTTATTGCTATATCTGAGAATGTGTATGTTCAGTAAATTCAACTGAGTCGATTACATATATAGCTGCAAATATAAAGCAAAATGATAAATGTAAATTTAGCTTAGAGGCAACGACACTAAAAGATAATCTAAAATTTTAACCTTGTAAATTAATATTATGTATATGAAATGTATATACGAATAGTTGATTAAAATACACAGCTTTATAACACAAGATTACACATATCATTTAAGAAAAGATGGATTAAATGATGAAAAATTATGAGACGCTTTATTAATTATAATTAAGCAATTTACATCTTATGAGAGTGTCCATGAGGGGAATGAGTATACGAGACGCTCAACAAAAAAATTATTCTTACTCATTCAACATGTCAATATCTAAAACTATCGACCGCAAAATTTTAGGTTCCAATACTTTTCCTTTCAAAAGTTAGCTAATACCGACTTTTGACATTATCGTACCTTTTCGGGGAAAAAAAAAGAAACAAATTCCTATAAAAATTGTTCCAGCTTGTGTTTCAATAGATCATTGAAATTTTTCATGCTATATACTAAAAGATAGAGAATTCAAAGCTAAACAAAATAAGCTAAATGGATATAATATAATGTTTAGCAACTCATGTTTTACAAAGCCTACATTAATCTAAAGATGTCTTTTTGATCAGTTCAAAAAAAAAAAACAATGTAACCCGTGCTGTGTTTCAAGATGAAGAGCTTCCAAGCTGGATTTCACATATGTTATATAGCTTTTTTTTCTTTACAAAATGGTAAAAAAAAATATTCAAAAACAAAAATTTCCGCTCTATCCGAAACTGGACTTACACTCCCTAAATTTTAATGGTTTTTCAATAGAAAATGAACGTTTTTCGTGCTTTTCATTGTCGTGACAAAATGTTAAAGTAAAATAAATACAATATTCGGAATCAGCGTCAGAAACTGTATCTAATCATATACTTTTCAGTGAAAATTTTTTCCTTTCCAAAATTGGCCTGTGGTCTCCCACAGCTATGTTTAAGAGAAGTTTTTCTCTCTAGTTCCATGGGCTAGTTTTGAACAGGAAAAAAGTTTCGCTGAAAAATATATGATTAGATAGAGTTTTTGACGCTGATTATAAATATTGTATTTATTTTGCTTTAGTATTTTGTCACGATAACAAAAACCACGAAAAAATGTTCCTTTTCTATTGAAAAATCGTAAAATACCATCAAAAATCAAGAGATGTAAGCCTCGCTTCGCATCGATGGGAAATTTTGTTTTTGAATATTTTTTTATCATTTTGTAGAGAAAGAAAAGCTGCATAACATGTGTGAAATTCAGTTTGGGAGCTCTTCATCTTGAAACACAGCACGGGTTACATTGTTTTTTTTTGAACTGATCAAAAAGACATCTTTTGACTAATGTAGGCTTTATAAAACATGAGTTGCTAAACATTATATTACATTCATTTAGCTCATTTTGTTCAGCTGTTAATTCTATCTTTTAGTATATACCATGAAAAATTTCAATGATCCGTTGAAACGCAAGCTGACACCGCTTTTATAGGAAATGTTTTCTTTTTTTTCCCCCAAAAAGGTACGGTAGTATCAAAAGTCGGTATTAGCTAACTTTTGAAAGGAAAGGTATTGGAACCTAAAATTTTGTGGCCGACGTTTTTAGACATTGATGCATTGAATGAGTGAAAAAAAAAAATTTTTTTATCGAGTGCCTTGTATATAATATTGATGCTCGATTAGTTCATGGAAGCAGCTCTCTTATATTTTTTGTACAAACAAAACTTTTACGATAATGTTTGAGTTAGTAACAACTATCAGAAAAATTTATAATTCTCTTTTCAATAGAAACCTTGAGAATAACCAAAAAGACTAATAAAAATGAAGGTTGAAATATTTATTTACTGTTTCATAATATTTGACACTGTATCTTGAAGCAGCAATTAATTGATCCTTCGAGATACAATATTATATATTGTGAAGCAGTAAATAAATATTTCAACTTTCATTTTTATTAGTCTTCTTGATTATTCTCAAGTTTTCTATTGAAACGAGAATTCTAGCTTTTTCTCATTAGTTTTTACTAACTCAAACATTATAATAATACTTTTGTTTTTACAAAAAATATAAAATGTAAATTGCTTAATCATGATTAATAAAATGTTCATCATTTTTCATTATTTAAATCATATTTTCTTAGATGATAGGTGTAAATTTGTTCTACAAAACTATGTATTTCAGTTAACTAACCGTATATTTAATAGACAAAGCTTTTGAATTAATATTGTCTGGACGTATTTCCCTTAATGAAAGTACAGCATTTATAATGAGAGGATTTCTAAAGAAAAATTTCTTTTAAGAATAGTGTATATATTATATGAGGCATTTTGCATTGAATACTTTTTTGATCACAATTGTTTGTTATTTCTGTCAAAAAAAACTGTCAAACTTGGACTATTTGGAATGCGAACAAGAACTTAATAGAGTTATTAGAGTAATGTAATTGAAATGTCAATGTTATAAGTTAATTGAATTGACTTGTCACATTTCATTGTATGAAAATAATTTAATAGAAAAATTCAGTTAAAGCTTGTCTTTTTAGTGTCTGTTTTAGACTTTACTACTTCACACAAAACAAAAAGTAATCGAAATAAAACTCAATGACCTTAGGAGAGAGCAATGTCAAATATCAGTCAGGTTGAATAATTAGTTTTCTTTATTAATCATACAATTATCAACTGAAATTAACTCCTCTAACACACATTTAAAGACAACTAATATTATTGCTTCATAACCACATTGTACATCAAGACCTTAGAAAAAATGTTTTTTTTTCTGATAATCTAATATTTGAACAGGAAACTCAATCCAGTATTAAAAAATGGATGGATCCAGATCGACGAATTCAATCTCTAGGAATAAGTGAATTTCTTCGAAACTGGTTTAAGAAAATGCTGAAAACTCATTATATCCGATCAATATTTTTCAGACGAAATTAGTCCGTTTGCATTCGTCTGGAAAGAAAAACTAAACTATATTTTAAAAAGTAGTTGAATATTTCTTTGTAATGAAAAACTATACTGACGAGGGAACTACTCGAGCTGTAATCCATCATTTGAACTAAAATTGGATCTGAATAACACTAGAGAAAGTCTAATAGGGTTTGTTTCCATGCGCTTTTAGAACCGAATTATCATCGATTCATTGAAATTTTGACCAGATACATTCTCCATAGATAGATCTAATGATTATTAGAATATTCTGAAAGTTTCAATCGAAAAGAATATTTCTTTGCAAAGATTTTAAATTTTCAAGTAAACTCAATTTGTATGACAAACGATTGTTTTTTGAAAATTCAACAAAACAATCATAATTTAGCTGCAAAAACTCATGATGGCAAACTCTTTAAGTCTTATTGAGACCTCCTTGTGAATTCAATAACGACTTCAAACACGGCGTATCAATTCGAATAGTTTTCTCGTCAACTTGAATAGTGTTCACACTGTAAAATACAAATAAAATGCCGATGTACTAATGTATTCAACAAAGAATTTATTTTCTCATTACCATCTGAATTTATTGTTTGAAGACTTTAGAAATAAATATTTAAATTTTATGATTAATAGATCACACAATTTATTATAATAGTTTTAATTCAATTGTCTTCTATTCACAATACAACATCAAAACATTCAACATAACTTAAGATACTATTTCTACAATGATTAATTTATGTTCACTTTTAGTTATTTTGCAATATACAGCAGAGAAAAAAAAATTTCAATGTAAACTTGTAAATAATAATATTTGATTTCTGAACAAAAAAACAAAAAAAAAACGTTCATATATTTGTTGTATTGTTCTTGCCAAGTTCATTAGTATTTGATCTATGTCCCATTAATTGTGTTACAGTTCCTTGTTGTCGATGAGTGAAATATTGTTGAGTAATACCTATATTAGTAGCACGATTTGATTGACGAAAAGTAATTGAAATCGAACATGGAATATATTTAAAAAATTCTTTTCGAAATAATTTTGATGTTAAACAATGTAAATAAAAATTTAATGAATAATTTGATAATGTTATTACTTCAAGTATTGATAGTAATAAAAGACTAAAAGAAAATGATTGTTGAATATTTGAATTAGATAATATAAAACGCATTAAAGCAACAGGAAATGTTGTAAGAAAAAAGACCATTAAAGTAACAAACATAAGTATTAACATTTGTCGATGAAGAAAACGTGCACGTCGTTGTTCATGTCGATTTAAATTTGTTTGTTGAATAGGAATAATTCGATTTCGACTAGCTTGTACATTTATTGTTATAGCTATAAGAAAAAACAGCATACAAATTGCTGGAATAACAGTAATTGTAAGAAGAGAAATAATTGGCCAAATTTCAGTATAAAAATATGAATAAATTGGATAACGATTATCAGCACCACATATAGTTGTTACTCCAGGTGCTGTTTGACCAAACATTGGTGTAATAATATGAATATGTAAAATACAATCAAAGATTAAAGCAATTATAATTGAATAAATAGCTGTTCGTGGTGTACAAAATCGTTGAGCTTTAATAGGAAATTGCGAACGTATCCAACGATCACATGAAACTAAAATAGAAAAAAAAAATGTTACCTATTTTTTTTAATTTATTAAACATTACTTAAAGTAAGCATCCAAGCACTGAAATTCGTTGAAAGATAAACCATATAATGTCGAAATTGACATGTTTTAGGATAATTTGATTGATCAGAAATTTGAAAACCATAAATCATTAAAACATATATAGATACTAATAGATAAATTATATTGGATACACTTAATGCAAGAAAAAGTATACCAGTACTAATATTTCTCATTGTTTTACGTAAAAATGTCATTATTTGACAAATATTACCAATAAATCCAATAATCAAAAAAACTATATATCCATATTGAAAAATATCCGATGAAACTGAAAGATAATATAAATCTAATGGTGAAAAACTTGGATAATATGATTTTGAAGCACTCATATCAAAAATTTTGATTAAAGAAAAAAAAAATTTTACACAGCTATATAAGCATGAAAAAATCTCTATATCTGCTACTGACAAGATTGATTGTGTGCGTAATTATGTAGGTGTCCTGCCTGAAGCAAACTTTATAATTTAAATGCAGAAAAATACTCTATAATACGAGTCAAATGAACATGCATTTACACTGTAAAATAGGAGGCCGGATAAGGCCAAATCTTTTAAGCTGCTTCAGGACTAATTTGTTTCTATTAGGTTTAAATATGGGGTAACTCCTGATTATTTATTTCAGGTTTATTTTGAAAAAAAAGACATCATCAATTTTGGTCCCTGAGGTGCCCCCATGTATCGTCAAAAAACCAAATTTCGCTTTTCATCAATCAAAGCTAGATATTCCTATACATTAAAGTGTGCTGATTACGAATATCATAATAAAACCTCTAAAAACTCCCTTGTTCTCTATATAGTCTGGACCACAATCTAGGCCCTATTTTTCAATTTTGGATCGCTTGTAAAAGAATCCTTCTTCAAACTTTAGTGGAAAATGTCTTTTCTAACTCACAATTTTGTGCTCTATACGAATCTGAACTTTTTACAGTGAAAAAAAGTTATTCTCAAATGAAGAACTACGATTTTGGGGTAGAAAATGGCCGTTTTTTCTGTAAATAAGTATTTATCTCCCTACTTTGTCATGGAAGGAGTTTAGCTGCAGCGTCAAACTTTTACCAGTAGGATGGTTTTTCACGCTCTATCGGTTGATGATATTAAAAATAAGAAAAAATTTGTGCAACACTGTCAAAAATTAAAAATACTGAAGAATTTTGAAAAAAGCTGTGGGAGACCACAGGCATCTAGTATACATGACATCTTGAAATCAGTTAATATATAGTACATCTTGTAGAGCCTAATGAGTTATGAATACAGGAAAAACTCCATTGATTTTCATACTTTCTTTCGTCTCGGAGACCTCTCTGAAATCTTACTGTAGCGCTATCATCCGGAAAGCTTTGTGAAGCGAATTTTGAGTCGGAAGAAACTGTGGAGACTAATGATATTTTTCCTGCATTCATAGCTCATTAGGCTCTACAAGATATGCTATATGTTAACCGATTTCAAGATGTCATGTATACTAGATGCCTGTGATCTCCCACAGCTTTTTAAAAATTCTTCAGTATTTTTAATTTTTGACACTGTTACACAAATTTCTTCTTATTTTTAATATCATCAATCGATAGAGCATGAAAGACTACCCTACTGGTAAAAGTTTGACGTTGCAGCTAAACTTCGTTCATGACAAAGTAGGAAGATAAATACTTATTTACAGTAAAAATGGTCATTTTCTACCTCGAAATCGCAATTTTTCATTTGAGAGTAACTTTTTTTCACTGTAAAAAGTTTAGATTCGTATAGAGCGCAAAATTTTGAGTTAGAAAAGACATTCTCCACTAAAGTTTGAAGAAGGATTCTTTTACAAGAGATCCAAAATTGAAAAATAGGGCGTAGATTGTGGTCCAGACTATATAGAGAACAAGGGAGTTTTTAGAGGTTTTATTATGATATTCGTAATCAGCACACTTTAATGTATAGGAATATCTAGCTTTGATTGATGAAAAGCGAATTTTTTTTTTACGATACCTGGGGGGGAGGGGGGAGGCACCTCAGGGACCAAAATTGATGATGTCAATTTTTTCAAAATAAACCTGAAATAAATAATCAGGAGTTACCCCATATTTAAACCTAATAGAAACAAATTAGTCCTGAAGCAGTTTAAAAGATTTGACCTTATCCGCCCTCCTCCTTTATTTTTTGTTTATTAAATATTTCACAATGTAATATTTTATTATTTCTTCGCTAGCAAATCCTTCTTAGCGATTGAAACTCGATTCAAACTTTGTAAAATCCGGACTTTTTTTTTCTACAGATCTATCCATCGCATTTGATTGCAAATATTGTATTACTATCTAACACTTTGATAGTACCATTTTATCGTTCTAAGTAGTAGCTTGTATTGAATAAGAATGTGAGTGTTGCAACATTTCTGTTCGTTAGTTTTATGAATAAAATTATTTATGTGACTTGTGACAACTACAAAAGTCTACTTTTGTAATCATTTTATTTGTGTAGTGCATAACTGTTAATAGGAAATTGATATAAATGAAAAATAAAAGTATTGTTTATTTAATTATGATTTTGATGAATGTTATTCGTTGAAAAATATTCATGGAAGGAAAAATAAAAATAAAAAAATCTCTAGCAAAAGATAATTTCTTTCCAAGGATAATCAGTTGTGAGACAAATTATCTGTCTTATTTATTTTCTGTTGTTTTTTTCTATTTTATTTTTAATTTATCATTACTTCACTCTTTGATTTAATTTAAAAACTAAGTCGGTTGTCATACATTCTTAATGTATTCAATCAATCTTATTGCGGTATTATGTATCTCAATAAACTCAGAAACATACTGATTTTGAGTAATCCTAAAAAATTAGATTTTGATTTATTCATACATTTTGTGTTGGTCATATGACGATTGTGTCAAATCACTAGATCATTAGTCATCATCATCATCATCCTTGATATTTATTGCATAATCATTTATTCAATTTAAAAATCAATAATTGCATCGTTCATACCATCCAACAACGCATGGCAGCCAGTTCAATTTCAAGGAAAACTTTAAAATATTCTACAATAGAGTAAATCTTTTTGTTTATGCCTTTCATCATTGTTTTTCACTGCTAAGAAACTATGGGAAAAGCGTCTGATAATTATTGTTCATTTTTGCTAGGAAATAATTCATACTCAATGATCTTTGACGCCAGTTGCTAAAGTGTATAAGGGAAAGACGAGCAGCAAAACTTCAATTTAAAATTTACACTCACTACTTTCTTTGACAACATATATGATTTTTTTCTATATTGAATAAAGCTGTTATTACATATAAGAAGATTTTAATAACATGACTTTGGGATTTGTAATTGACTAACACAAATCAAAGTCTACCGGTAGGAAAAGATAATTTGCTTGCTTAAAATCAATTAAAAATCAAGGTTGATGTGTATTTCAATCTTGTTCAAAATATTAACATTAGTTTTTATGTCAAAAACATTTAGTCAATTAATAACAATATCAAAAAAAAAAAAGAAATATTTATTATTGTGTACTGTATGATCCAAGCTAAGAAACATACTGCACATAAACAATATGTCTTCCATACAATCATCGAATTATTAATCATAATCAAAACATAAAAAATTTGAGAATTCATAATTTTTCCTACATAAGCATAAGTGAAACTATCTCACCAATAATATTTACATATATTCAAAAAAGCTGTTAGCACAATTCCTTCGAGATTAAAATGTCAAACGCAATGTAGTTACTGTTGTTAATCAGTGTAACTTTGTTTTATTCTATCTATTTTGGGATACATTTCGCAACTATCCTTTTACTTAATCCTCCGCAAATGCAATAAGAAAGTATGTAATTTATATATTACAGTAAGGTGCTATTGATATATGATCTATGGTGCGGACAGGATTGCTAATGCTAAGCAGTATCATCAGCCATCGGTTACTCACACAGGGAGGTTCGAACTTGAAAGTCAAGAAAACTAAATCTACTATTGAAACGAGAACGATCGATAGTATTTGAAATGGAAGCATTTCTATTAATGAGCAGCATTGAGTGCTCTGGACACACGAAATTTTTCCTAGAATAAACAACTCAAAAAATTTGTGTATAACACAGGGAATAAAAACGACATATTCAGATAGAACTCAACAAACTTCACCGAACATATCCATTTGAAGTATAGTTTGATTTAATATTTGCATGTTTTTTAGAAATATTGTATTAGAAAATTTCGTAAATATTTGCATTTTTCTTGAATCGAAAAATTTGTTTCGTTGAATTCTAGTGAAAAATATTCCGTTTGATGCAGAATTCAATGTTGATGACGAATATTTGATTGCTTTTGACCTTTTTTTCCTTCATCCTAATCCAAACTCCGATTCTCCGAAACAACGACGATATTCGATAATGAACACTATTTTTAGTTGATTATTCGATGCCGTGTTATGCTTGTTAAGAAATGATTTGATATTTTGAAAGCTTGTTAAAAACAGAACAACGTTTTGTAGAAAATTTATTTATATATAACTTCGATTTATACTGAAACACTCAAATGTCAGCTCGAGCTAAAGTAAGATCAATAAAATTTTTACTGATAATACATTTAAATAACCTGTAGGAATTTGCTTTTGCCATTGATAAAAAATAGATGTTACAATGTAAAAAAATGAAATTCCACAACTCGATATAGGAAAGTTGGTCCCCAGTCCGATTAGGACCGAGACTAACATTTTTTTTTCATTATAAATGATATCTTTTATGGTCGTATAAAAAGATCTGGCCGAAAATCATAGATTTTTCCTCAATCTAGAAACAGTGTAAAATGAAAGTATCTTGCAAATAAATAACTACCTCGATGTTGATTTATTAAGATCTGGTCTCTTTTGTGAATAAAATTTTTAAGAGAAAGTGAGTCCACCAGAAGATCACCTTACCTTAGCAGCTATAGGCCGTCGAAGAAAAATTTTATTTTTTCGATTCTGTCATCTCAAATGAAAGATCTAGATAAACCATAATCAAATCCAAAATATAAAGTCATTTGATTTTGACTGTGAAAAATGCGAGCAAAAACAAGTATTCAAGGGTCTACTTTGACCATAAAAATCGCCATCTCGATGGTGTATTCGGTATTTTGATATTATCTCAACAGCGGTTTGACCGTTTGACCTGAGAAACATCTCGTTTGCTAGAGAACAGTACAGACTACAAATTTATCCTATTTGAATCACTAATATATAGAGTAAACAAAACACTATAGGTCAAAAACTTTCTAAAACTTGAAGAATCTGCCCATCAGGGATAGCGATATTTTGAACTGTTCTTGAGTGATGCTCTATATGTTGATCATTCAAATGAGATGATTTTGTAGTCTGTATTGTTCTCTAGCAAATCAGATGTCTCTCAGTTCAAACGGTCAAGTCGCTATTGAGGTAATGTCAAAATATCAAACACACCATCGAGATGGCGATTTTTATGGTCAAAACAGACTCTTTATACTTGTTTTTGCTCGCATTTTTCACTGATAAAACCAAATGATCTTATATTTTGGATTTGATTATGTTTTGCCTACATCTTTCATTTGAGATGACAGAATCGAAAAAATAAAAAATTTTTTCGATCAGATTCTTTGCGTCAAATGTCATATTCTTACGACTCATATGTTCTAAAATTTGATAGGAAAATTCTTGAGTAACGATCATTCCAGTATTTACTATTACAATTGTGATAGTAGTTAAAATTAATCCTTCTTCTCATAAGCAATAGGATTGTCAAACACATAAACATGCAGAATAGATGCAATAGTAGTGAACTAAAAAAAACCCAATCAGTCTACAAGATGTAGGATATTAGAGGTCATACAAAATATTTCGATTTTATTGATACTACTAGAAAATGGTATCGCATTTTCCACTAGCATATGTATTATCAAGCGCGACAACAGAACTAAAAAATTGTTTCCACTCATCACTCTCCGTAAGGCATCTGTTATGTGGTCTATTAGAGGAGTACAAATTTTTACTCTTATTTTTCAACACTTGTTTTTGATCATGTTTCAAAAAAAAAAAAAGCAAACTTTTTATAATAATACATTCTTCATTTCAAATTAGATTATTTATATTTATATTCAACATCGATAAATAAATTTAATAGTCTATTTAACGAGTGAATCGAAAATTTTGAGATAAAATATTTGTTCATTTGTAGTTCGGTTGAAAATGTTTTCGACGAGTCAAAATATGTGAAGGTATGATCAGAATTTTATATTCTTTTCGAATATGGACTTTGAAATTTTATCTCAGTTTTTGTACGAGAGTAGTACAATAATCTTTGAAAAGTCGAAAAAATTAGTTCGAACAGAAAATTTTTCCGCACTTTTTCTATTTTCGCGGTTGCAATTCGAAACTAAAAGTCAGAACCTTTATTGATATATCAGCTTGTGGAACAAATGATACTCTACAAAATGTACTAGTTGAGTTTCTTTTTGTCTTTTGATAAGACACTTCAATTTTCATTTTTCTTAAACTTTCATTTTGAAAAAAAATTCGACTTTTTGACCAAAAAGCTGCTTTACTTAGAAAGAAGCTTTTGACAAAAAGTGACAACTTAGTTCAATATTACATTTCATAAACAAGTTTCCGTTCTATAAAATGATCGATTTCGACAAATTTTAGCATCTTCAGAAAGAAACTTATAAGACTCAGCAAAAAACCTGTTGCTACATCATTCAAGCTAATTTTTAGGTCTTTCAAAGATTATCTCACTTTTCTCGAACAAAAACTGAGACAAACGATCTAAATTCATATTCAAAAAGAATACAAAATTCTGATCATAACCCACAGATTTTAACTCGTCGAAAACTCTTTCAAGCGGACTAAAAAATGAACAAATATTTTGTCTCAAAACTTTCGACTCATCCATTATACTACTATTGTTTCAAAGCAAAAAAAATACAAAATATTTAAAACTCAACTAAATCTGAATGAAAATCTTGGTTAACAGTTTCAAAACTTTCATTTGATGAGTGATGTGGACGATGAGTAATATTAACATAATTAAAATCTTCTGAAGGCGCTAAATGTTCAGCTACACGTGCACGATATTCAAAATTTTGATGTAATGCATGTATTGATGCTTGACGATTTAATATATCAAAACCAATATAAGCTACTTCAAGCATACTAAGTACAACATATGTAAAAAGATTTTCTACACGTACTAAACGACTTTCTTTATTACATTTTGAAATATTTATATGATCACGTTCATAAATAATAACCATTATAAGTGTATGTAATGATAGTGTTAATAAAACTAATAATTGTATAGCACCATACCATGTTATACCTAAATCATTTCGAATTTTTGTATTTTCCCATTTACTAAGTATAATAATAAACAAAGATAAATAACACATAACAATCGTTGATATAAATATTAAATGTATCAATTTAAGAAAACGTAAATCATGATGTTCATATATACAATGATTTACTGTTGTAAAACAAGAATAAATTTGAGAAGATATATTATAAATAATAGGTATTTGATTATATGTATTATAAAGGTGAACTTCTGGTGATGTAACATGAAGACTATTAAAAAATAGAGCACCTGCTTCAACACAAAATAGAACAACTATAAATTTTGGATCTATAGTTTTTTGAGGAACAGTTGGAAGACTATATTGACTATGTTTTAATAACGATACTTTTCTATGATCGTCCATTTTTGTTTCTAAAAAAAAAAACAATTTAATTTAAATCTTTATTAAGAATTTTCTCTAGTATTATATCAACAATTTCAAAGAAAAAAAACAGTCATACACGAATAACAATAATATGTTGAAAATTCAAATTTTGAATTATTATGATATCACTCGTATCAATTCAAACAACACTGTGAAAAATAAATGAACAAGAAGATAATACTGAAGAATACACATGTTTTTCAAATACATTTCGGCATGAACTGCTGGTTAGTAGCAGACTTAATAGCACGATATCTTCTCTAGAATTTTGACTAGCTGTAACTCTGAATAGTAGATCAGCCTGATGCAGAGTTCTTGCGCTCTCCATACACATACTAACTAACCACAAGAGCAGATGTATGTCACAACGTCGTAAGCATGCTATCCGACAGGTGACATTCCATGACTGACGGTACTGAGGTTTGCACACAGTATCTTGTGGATACATGACGAACAACGTCATCGCTCAGTCATGGCGGCTGAGAAATAATGATCTAGATCGATATATAATTGAAACAGGTATAATCACAAAGACAAAGATAAATACATTTTTTGTTGTTTATAAAGAACAAGAAAAAAAAATGATTTTATTTCTTTTTAAAGATTAAAAAATTTTAGATTTATTTTTCACCTTAATACTTAATCTAATTTGTATGATATTCTGAAAGTTTTCTGAATTGAATTCATTTATAATTTTTATCTTTATCATGAATAAGTTCGATATAGAATTTTCGAAAACATTTTTATGTTCAATCTACTTAATCACTCATATCATGATGATCAAACAATCATGAGAAAATGGATTCAACTTCTCATAGAATAGAGAAGCTCAATTTTAAGTATAACTCTATGAGACAGAACATCAACAAAAAAAAAAGGAAAGAACAAGAAAGTAACCGAAGGAGAGAAATAATAAATTTCTTTTCTCTTTCCTTTGAAAATAAAATTTATTTCGAATATAAAAAAAAAAACACATAACGAACTATGTTTCTATTAGATGAAGAGAAAAAGAAATAAAATATTTAATGACTAATTTTTGAAATTTAATGAAACAACTAATAATTGAATTTATTTTTCGTTATAATCATAAACAATAAAAAAATCGACTAACTTAATTCTCTTCGTTGATCATTTATCATAATATTCTTTGAAAAAATTATATCTCGTATCTATTGCCGATTATCTGATTATGAAAAATATTCAATATGATATATATTGCAAATCTATTTTTGTTGTAGCATATCAGTTTGCTTTTTGCTTTTATCAAATATTAACAAAGAATGATAATTGTTTTAACGATCTACTATACCATTGACGAGGGAATCGTTCGAAGTGATCCATTGCTTTTGATCTCATATTTTAAATATCTCAGTCACATTGCAATATGAACTCCATATCACCTCTTAGGCCTTTTTTTAGTCTACAGGTTCTCTAGTTATGGACAAAATATGAGACCAAAAGTAATGAATCACTTCGAACGGTTTTCTCGTGAGAACATACTATGAGGAATATTCTCATTTAAATTGTTAAATTTCTCGTTACTATAACTTCGATTATTAGTAATAGAAAATGCTTTCTTTTTTTATTGTTTAAAATTCCTACAGACTAATAATATTTCAATCATGTATAGGTACTGAAAAATAATTAAACTAATTACTTATCATACGCTAGTAGTAAGTGACTTCTGAATGAGTATAAGATAGTCATGTAAATTATCGAATAGCCTAGTTTCTTGCTTTTCTCTTTTGTATCGAGCTTCTTCCTATCATGGGATTATACATACAGTCTTATTAAATTGACAGAAATATAAAGAAATCTCTAATTGAAAAATGAGACATCAACAATGACCGGTTGAAGCTACGCAAGAATTTATTTAAAAAAAAATTATCAATATGAGATGAATACGATACACCTTACTGAAATACTCGTAAGACTTATTTCATAATATAATGAGAAGTTTTCATTTGGTAATGAAAAAATATTTTATACTTACAAGATAATTGATATATATTTTCTTATGTTACGCATCTACTCACGTTGTCTTATAATATGAATCTGAAAAAGTATAAAAATCAATTTTTAGTTCGTCGATAACTAATGAAATTTTTAAATAGTTTGAAAATTCCAATTTATCAAATCTTGAGTATTTCTGTACTTGCAAGTTCAATGAGCTATTATTCTTCAGAAGACAAGAGAGTAATCAATAATTATCTTTGTATATTATTATATAGGATACATCTCAAAATGTCTGAAAAAAAATCAATTACTGAATATTTGCATAAATACTCCAACCGACCATCCGATAGGCATTTCAATGGGTCGAGTTAGGGTTGCTGTAGGCATCGAAATTATAAATGCAGCTCTCGGATTTTCATTTTTCGATAGGTCAATAAAATGCTGAGTTTTCGAACAGCCGAATGATTTTTACCGGAGGGAATCAAAATAAAAAAAAGATTTTTTTCTTATAGATACCTCATTCTGGGGTCGTCGAGACCTATTGAATAAACGCAGAGGAGATTGGATACTTACAATTAACATTCGTCGAACATATGAATTATTGTTCTTCTATGAAGATTATCTTTTTCATTTTTATGAAGGATAATACTTTCAAGATTGTTATTTTAACATTTGCTAACAGTTTTCGAAAAGAAAAAAAAATACTTTTTAATCGAATAAACGCACCTTTTGCGTGTCCCTAACTACAGAAAAGCCTTTTTTTTTTAAGTCTCAGATACCATATAAGAAGTTTATTTGATAAATAACTGATTTGTGTGATAAATTATAAGATCAATATTAAAAAATAAAAACAAGTTTTTTTTCAAACATTCAAAAATACAAAATTCGTTATGACTATGTTTTTCATCAAAAGCACTTATCTATTTCGATCTTACTTTGTTATTTTTCATCAGTTAATGTGAAAATATTTTTTTTAAGAAAATTATAAAAATATATGTCGAATATAAATCACTCTACTAAGATAACTAAATGAAAAAAACATTTATAAATTACTTGTTGACAAAATTTTACAAAATCAAAAACAAACCTCACCACTTGAAACTGTTATTCTGCTAGGCTTGCTTCTATTGAAACACTCAATATTATGCTTTCAATATATTTCTTTTCTCAAGTACTCGAAAATTCAATGAATATTGAGAGATCTAAATGTGTTTGAAGAACCGAAAATAATTGTCCCATATAGGATACATTTTACGAGTGGTTGGAATCTCATGACTATCGAGGATCTCGAAATCGGAACGAAATTTCGAGCATTTATCACACCCATCGTATGCTTTTTTTGAAGTTTGTTTGGGACTTACCCACTATTTTCAATAATTATGGACGATTTCTTTTATTTTTTTGTAATCTATGTGAAAAATTTAATAGTGTCCGGCTGATTTAACTTAAAAATTTCTTATTCTTTCAAAGATTATTGTATACATTAAAAAAAAAGGAAGTTATAATTCTGTTTTATTTTACATAGAACTAAAAATTACAACATACATACGTGTTTATTTATTGATGTTATATTATTACTCTTATACAAAATACGACTGCAGTTATTTGCACATATATATATATATATGCATATAGGACAAAATACGTTTTTTTTCTAAGGTGTATGGCACGAATGAATAAGACTTTCTTTTCTTTTTTTTATTTGTACGATATGAAACTGTTTATTTCAATTATATATTTGTTTCTTACACCTTTAAGTCATCGAAAACATGTATAATCGTTAAATAATAAATAGTAATGTTTTAATAATAAAAAAATTCGAAAACAGAATTTTAAAGAAAATCAAGATAATATTATTGAAATATTATATTTCTTTTCTCATCTTATTATAGGTGTAATTTACATATTCTCTTTTGATATTCGATGCTTTAAAAGGTAAGTAAGTTCATCAAACAAACTTATATATATGTATATGTATGTATGTATGCATAGATCTAACAAAGAAAGAACAAGCAAAGAACAGATTAACAGTAATGAGGGATGATAATATACATTCGAAAGAAGTCAGTCCGAAATAGATAAGTTACAAGCAATGAATACATATCAGAGAAAGACATAGCACAATGAAGAGCACATATAATCAACGAATGAGATGTTTGATGTAGTGAATTTTTATTCTATAGAAAATATTTGATTGTAGATCATAATGACTATTATAAAGATTGAAAGTTTGATAATTCATAAAAGACTACTTATCGAATAATCGAATCAAATCATTTGAATTTGAAGATTATTACTTTAATCATAATTGTAAAGTTTTTTTGTTTTTTTCAAATATAAAGTATATTTCAATAGATAAAAACAAAAATTGGAATCAAGATTAGAAAAAATTCTTTTCTACAAAATAATCAATTGTCATACATTGGGCATTAAAAAAGTTGTTTTTCTTTTATTTTCAATGGTATCATCATGATTTTATTGTATGTCAGAATTGTAATCGACCGAGAATATTTAAACCGATTCGGTCAGACTGATTTATTATTAATTGGTTAATGGAAATGGCTTAAAAAATAAAAAACATTCATTTTTCTTTTTTTTTTTTTTGCATTCAAGTTTTTACAAATCTACACATATATGTGATATAAATTTAGCTCAAATAACACAGTTTTAATTGAGCTTTAAAAAATAAAAAAATGAAAATATACTTCGATTACAGAAATAAAACAGTGTGAGCGAAGGAGAAGAAAATGAAAGGCAAATGATTTATGTATTCCATTTTTTTCTCAAAATGAATTTTTATTATTTTACTACCATACTTGAATGTTTGCTAGAGAACACTATAGACTATATAATGGTATAATATTATTAACAGAATATATTGAACTAAGATTATGGAAAAGTTGAAAGAAAAAGTATGGGATAGGGGCTTTTTAAAATTATATATATTATTTGATATAGATAACAATGTATTTATACATGAAGTTAGCATCTTGAATGTTTATCATGCACTCTTTTTAATTAAC